TCCTGAGAAAATATTTTTTTACTGCTAAACTATTAGAGTATCTTGGCTGAAATTACTTCCACTGTTTCTTCACCCTAAAAAGAAGTTTTGAAGAAAATTTCAGCATGTTCGTATGTCTAGGTGATGAGATACAGCTATTTAAACAAAAAAAGAAATATTCTCCTGAGAAAATATTTTTTTACAAATAAACTATTAGAGTATCTCGGCTAAAATTACTTCCACTGTTTCTTCACCCTAAAAAGAAGTTTTGAGGAAAATTTCAGCAAGTTCGTATGTCTAGGAGATGAGATACAGCTATTTCAACAAAAAAAGAAATATTCTCCTGAGAAAATATTTTTTTACAAATAAACTATTAGAGTATCTTGGCTGAAATTACTTCCACTATTTCTTCACCCTATAAAGAAGTTTTGAGGAAGATTTCAGCATGTTCGTATGTCTAGGAGATAAGATACAGCTTTTTAAACAAAAAAAAATATTCTCCTGAGAAAATATTTTTTACAACTAAACTATATCTCATCTCCTAGAAAAGAAATAGTGGAAGTAATTTCAGCCAAGATACTCTAATAGTTTAGTAGTAAAAAACTATTTTCTCAGGAGAATATTTTTTTTGTTTAAAAGCTGTATCTCATCACCTAGACATACGAACATGCTGAAATTTTCTTCAAAACTTCTTTTAAGGGTGAAGAAACAGTGGAAGGAATTTCAGCCAAGATACTCTAATAGTTTAGTTTAAAAAAAATATATTTTCTCAGGAGAATATTCTTTTTGTTTAAAAAGCTGTATCTCATCACCTAGACATACGAACATGCTGAAATTTTCTTCAAAACTTCTTTTTAGGGTGAAGAAACAGTGGAAGTAATTTCAGCCAAGATACTCTAATAGTTTAGCAGTAAAAAAATATTTTCTCAGGAGAATATTTTTTTTTGTTTAAAAAGCTGTATCTCATCTCCTAGACATACGAACATGCTGAAATTTTCCTCAAAACTTTTGTTTAGGGTGAAGAAATAGTGGAAGTAATTTCAGCAAAGATACTCTAATAGTTTAGTTGTAAAAAAATATTTTCTCAGGAGAATATTTTTTTTTGTTTAAAAAGCTGTATCTCATCTCCTAGACATACGAAATTGCTGAAATTTTCCCCAAAACTTCTTTTTAGGGTGAAGAAATAGTGGAAGTAATTTCAGCCAAGATACTCTAATAGTTTATTTGTAAAAAAATATTTTCTCAGGAGAATATTTCTTTTTTTGTTTAAATAGCTGTATCTCATCTCCTAGACATACGAACATGTTGAAATTTTCCTCAAAACTTCTTTTTAAGGTGAAGAAATAGTGGAAGTAATTTTAGCCAAGATACTCTAATAGTTTAGTTGTAAAAAAATTTTTTCTCAGGAGAATATTTTTTTTTTTAAAAAGCTGTATCTCATCTCCTTGACATACGAACTTGCTGAAATTTTCCTCAAAACTTCTTTTTAGGGTGAAGAAATAGTGGAAGTAATTTTAGCCAAGATACTCTAATAGTTTAGTAGTAAAAAAATATTTTCCCAGGAGAATATTTTTTTTTGTTACAAAGCTGTATCTCATCTCCTAGACATACGAAATTGCTGAAATTTTCTTCAAATCTTCTTTTTAGGGTGAAGAAATAGTGGAAGTAATTTCAGCCAAGATACTCTAATAGTTTAGTTGTAAAAAAATATTTTCTCAAGAGAATTTTTTTTTGGTTTTAAAAACCTGTATCTCATCTCCTAGACATACGAACATGCTGAAATTTTCCTCAAAACTTCTTTTTAATGTGAAGAAATAGTGGAAGTAATTTTAGCCAAGATACTCTAATAGTTTAGTTGTAAAAAAATATTTTCTCAGGAGAATATTTTTTTTTGTTTAAAAAGCTGTATCTCATCTCCTAGACATACGAATTTGCTGAAATTTTCCTAAAAACTTCTTTTTAGGGTGAAGAAATAGTGGAAGTAATTTCAGCCAAGATACTCTTATAGTTTAGTTGTAAAAAAAAAATTTCTCTCAGGAGAAAGATTATTTATTTTTTGAAAAAGCTGTATCTCATCTCCTACACATACGAAACTGATGAAATTTTCCCCAGAACTTCTTTTGAGGGTGAAGAAATAGTGGGTGTAATTTCAGGCAAGATACTCTAATAGTTTAGCTGAAAAAAAAAATATTTTGTCTGAAGAGAATGTCGGCTGCTAGTTTCAGTTTCATGTGCAAGAAATTCGTGACTGTACTTCACACAGCCAAAGTTAACATCACACCTAGAAAAGTAAAAATTGCTGGGTTTTGTTAGATATTCCACTGTCTAGTTATTCAAAATTTATTCATATTCTAGTCCCATCATAGCTGTTTATTGAACTGATAATAATATTTTTTTTAATTATTATTGTAACCATTTTAGTTAATCGAAAATACACACAATTTAGCATATTTAGTAAGTAATTTAATCAAATACACACAATTTAGAATATTGGGTAAGTCAAATAAATTGTTGAATTAGGAGTTGAGCATGATATACAAGTACTCTCAGCTCTGTGGCAAAGGGCTCTTATCTTGAAATATTTATCACCCTAGCAGGTAACAGATTGATATTATGAGTAATCTGTTTTTCTGCAGAGGTAAAGGTAATAATATATTTAATTATGATTCAATAGTGGACCATGGGCTAGGGTAGCATAATGGTCAGTGCATTCGCCCTGATAGCAAAGGGTGCGGGTTCGAGTCCCGTCTGCTGCCTGGTCTGCATGGTTTTTTTTTCTAGTACAACTTTCTATATGATTCAATAGGTAAATATGCAAAACTTTTAAGTAACACATACATTCTTAGTTTTACTAGGTATTTTTCATTTGAATAAAATTGTGATTGTTTTAATTGTATAAAGCAAATATTTACATAGGTATGGGACCTTTTATTTTATCTGTAACAAACTTCCTGATTATCACAGTAATATATAAGTACAGTCATAAAAAATAAGGAAGCCACACTATTGATTTAAATAATCTCAGAACAGGAAATAATACAGTTTTTTTAACATTATCTTCAAGAGTCATGTTTTATATGTTTATCATGCAAGTTACTGCTTATTAAGTTTAATTTAGTAAGTATTATTTAGGGTTTATTCTGAAAATTGTTATCTATAATAATTGTATGTTACTCAAATTACCTAAAATTTTATTAAGATAAATGTTGTTATTGGTGAATAAGGTCAACTTCCATGACGGTGGTATTTAATGCTGTTTATGTTTAAAATAAAATTATTAGTAAATAAAAAAAAAAATATAACATTGTGCTACAAATACAGCAGGTCCTTTTATTTTTCTTTTAGAGTTATGTTTTTAATATTATATGTTTATAAATTAATATATGAGATATTGCTGCCAAATTGCAGCAAAATCTGAGTACCATAACTTATTATTTGTGAAAGGAGTTTATAAGCAAGTTATGAAATATATTTTACTAGGTTTTTAACACAGGTCAAACTCAAACCACACAGGGCACAGCTAGTAAAATAAAATATGAAAGATTATCTAAACTTTCAAGAGCTTGTATGATCTAATAAATCACAGAAAGTTTCAATATGCTTTCTACAAACTTTATCAAAAGACACATACCTATTAGTAGGTACATCTATTTGCACATGTGTGGGCAGAGTATGAATGATTCAGTGCAAGTATCATTGACCTCATCAAATTAATGTTACTTACTCATTCAATGAAGCTATAAAAAATTAAGTGGTGAAAAGCTTGGGGTAAAGTGGGTTTAGAACTTAAGACCCAGACTACAATAAAAGTGGCTATGTAACCAAGATTTATAGAGTTCCAAGTCCAATTTGACCAGAATGAAATGGGTGCTTGTATTGTGTACTTCGTGATTGTGGTATGAGTATGGCTAATGTTAAAAATGATTTTTTTAAGGATATTTCAGTGATTTTTATGCATACAAATAGTAGATTTCATGAGGTGTTTGATTATCTTCTATGGGTGAAGGAATTCCAAATTGATTGATAAATTACATAATTATATACCTAGCTTTTTTAAATATTAGCTTAATAAAAAACCTACATCCATGCCAATATAAAAGTGTGTCTGTCTGTCTGTTACCTTTTTGTGCTGAACTGATTTCGATGAAACTCAGAATAGAGCTTGAATCCTAGGAAAGGACATAGGATAGTTTTTATTCCAGAAAACATCCTTTATGGTTGTGAAAATGAGGGTGATAGTTTAAATTGGAAACTGATTAAACCATGCAAACAGGCACTCAATAGTAAGTAAAGATACAACAGGTATGATGATTGACTTTTTTTCTCAGTGTATCAGATAGATTATCAAAAATTATGGAACACATAAATTTTTACTTCATTCATATACCTAATCAAAACATTACAGGGATATATTAATTTGAAATGTCGCATGATGTCACATCTTAGTACAATATTTACTTAAATTACATTACAAGCCCCCTCTCACAAACTTTGATAGGCTTTATCATTGTAATTGTTTGATTGATTGAGAAAAGAATAAATGAGTATCCATTATTTTTTGATAATCTTACTGAACAGAAGACTTTTGTTAACTTTATCCCATCATCATTCCTATTACTTCTATGAAACTATTTACCATCCCACAAAGTTGAAACGTTGAAACTTTCAAATATTTATTATTTTTAAGATTTTAGACTAGATGTTACGTCTGAAATATTAGTATTATTTTCAACAGGTTAAAATTATTTACCAAAAATGTCTGGGATTCTTCAAATGCTTTCCCTATTTTAAATTATTAAATAACAATTTTATACAACCATCAATATAAAAATTAACTCAGATTCTAAACATGTGCCATAAGCGTAGGGCAAGCCCAACATTATGGGTGGCCTTCCGCCTTCCTTCATATGGCGAATATAATTAGCACCTTTTATCTTGTAAGGTAATGTCACTATTCAAGGCGAACCACTCGTGTCTACAACAGAAAACGTAATGTTTCTAAGAAATTATGAATAACTCACCAATTGCCACTTGGATTTGCGTGTGGGGTCAGCGATAGTGATCAACAGTCTATGTATCATCTGCACTGTTCCCTCGTAGTACACGAGAGCCGACTCGTAGTTCCCCATGAGGGCCATTTCTCTGGCCAGCTTCGTGTTCTCGCATATTTCTCCAACAGAAACTGCCATTATTGTCATTCCCGCTGCGTGCATGTACCTATTGCTCAGTGAAAATGTAACTGGGTCTTCCAATAAACCTCCCAACATGAGTTTACCAAGATTCGACGGCAACACTTAGCATTTTTACAATACAACCCACTTAACTTGCATGAATTTTTGTAACATTCACATTTTAATTTTAAAACTTAAACGTTTTAGTCATATTTTTAATTAACCATTACTGAACAACATACATGAACTGATTACCATATTTTTTGAGACAAAACAAACTAACAATTTCGTTCGACAAATTCACAATCACAAAATACAATTTACAGGTTGCATGACAACTGCCAACCTTTTATATTTTTCAACCAATCACAACATTCTATAGATATTCATTTCTGAATGTTGGTAGTTATGGTAAGTTTGTTCTCATCACCCACCTATCATTAAAGGCAGAAAAATATTAACGTGTCGTGTCGTGACGTCCCGAAGCACATCGGTTTCATACTTACTGTGGTTAGAGACTCAGGTAGTTTTCCAATTACAGCACTAGAGCGCATTATGCGGCATAATGCTTAACGTTGAATGTTTCAACTACAGCAACGCTTCGCACAATCGAGCACTCTCAAAAGTAAAGGGGCCCATATACGGAACGATTGATCTGTACGATCCGTCGTTTCAGACCGATCGAAACGATGGATCGACAGTGTATGTCAAGATCGTTAACCATTTACTTAATCGCAGACGATATCGGAGATCGCAACAAAAACCCATGCAATCATGAATATCGTAAACGATCGATCGTCAGTGTCCCATATACGGTACGATTGATCTGTACGATCCGTCGTTTCAGACCGATCGAAACGATGGATCGACAGTGTATGTCAAGATCGTTAAGGATTTACTTGATCGAAGACGATATCGCAAATCGCAACCAAATCCCATGCAATCATGAATATCGTTCATGCAATCATGAGTTCGTTTTCCATTTTAGAGGGCAAGTATTGAATTATTTGAGTACGTCTTTATCCTACCGTTTGAAACAAGTAAATGATAGATCGTTACCATCAATCGTTTCGTGTATGTAGTGGCATTTCTGAACGATCGATCGTTGACGATTTCCTTCAGATCGATCGCAACGACGAATCGTTCCGTATATGGGGCCCTTAATGCTTTCGTGTGATGCGTGCAATCCTACCAACTCAGTGACAGAAAATTAACAAGTGTTTTTTCTTTAAGTTGGCATTGATCGAGATGTTTTAATTATATGTTAAGTTTCATCGTTTCCGGACACCGACTACCACTTTTGAACAGTCTCCGTTGACAACAGTGTGTCCTGATCATTCTCTATACACAATGAAAAAGAGAGGCTGATGTTAAAAGTTTAGAGTATCATGCTAGAATAAACAACCAATGGGTGTACTAATGTGTGTTTAGTAAAGAACTGTGGTGTGAATAAATAACTGTCAAGCGTGAACTGACGTTATAATTACGAACCCCGTCCCTGCACGTAACAATAGTTTTTAATGAAAAGTTTTACTAGACAAAAATCCACGCGGACCAGGCAGCGGACGGGACTCGAACCCGCACCCTTCGCAATCCGGGCGAATGCACTGACCAATTATGCTACCACGGCCCTGATGGCCGCGTCGAAATTTTCCTAGCCTTAAGCTGCAAGGCAGCGCCATCTCTTCGCATTGTAGGTAACCCACAAGGGGTGCGAAGGGTGTGGGCTCGAGTCCGAGCTCCGCGTGGATTTTTTTGTAGTAAAACTTTTCTTTAGATTTAATCATCTAGCAACATTAAAAAAAATAAAAATATAACAATAGTTTAATGTTTAAGTGCATGCTTGCATCATGTCGCGAAATGCCCCAGCCTGCAGCAGCTGCTGCCAAATACGCATTTTAGTCATTGTTGCTTTATGACTTTTATTAATGTTTCTTTCATGTTGAAATCAAATCCACAAAAGATTATTATTATGAAGATTATTGAAATATGAAGCAGTCGTATGTCACCGCGTCTTTCGGCATGTCGTCAGTCACCATAGCCCGCAGAGGCATCCTATAGCACGCTCTGGCAAGAATTCCGGGATCAGTCGCATCCGCCTACACCTACCTTAAGCACGAATTTTGACAGAGGCAAATGTACGAATTTTGACAGCTCCGTAAGCGTATCGTCATTTTGGGAAGGAGCCAACTGGCTCCTTCCATATGACTATACGCTTACCGGCCGAGCTGCTTAGTTTTCACAGAAACTATGACGATGCGATACATTTACGGTGCTGTCAAACTTCGTGCTTGGGTTTGGGCCTCTGTTCAATCGTATCGCATCGTCAGTTTCTATGGAAACTAAGTAGCGCCCTAAAAGATCTGTCAAAGTTCGTACTGCAGGGTTATTGAAGTAAACTAATGATTTATAAATGAAACTATGAGTTTTAACAATAAACATTATATTCATATTATTAAGTATTTTTCATATATAGGTGTTATGAAATAAAAATACATTTTCCAGTTATATGGTAGGTATTTTTAAGAAATATTTACATCGTGAATTTGCAGTAATTTTTGTATTTAGACTATTTTGTAGTAAATTTTATGCCAGCACTTCACATAGCTATTCGTATTTGCTATTTGTAAACTTGACAGATGTCTCTTCTTTTCACTAGCTATGGAGTATGATAAGGATAACCTGCTGTCAAAATGACAAATAGCAAATATGAAACGCCAAGTGAAGAGTCATTAGTGTACCATCAAAAAAGACAGACCCAATCACCTCAAGCTATTTCTATAAGACAAATGATGCAATGGATAATGACCTAGAAATGTATTTGCCTTGATTTTAGCAATAGGTACAGCCTATTTCCAAAATCAAGGCAAATACATTTCTCAACAGCACGTCAGTCTATACAAATTAAATAGAAAGTCTAATATTTATAGGGAAAATAAGTACTACATTTTTTTAAATATTACGTGTGGTGTGAATCTAGTGGTCTAAAAGAAAGTGAATGGAACACATTACATATATCTTGGAAAATTACAATAAAATACGTGTTCATTACATATTGACTCCCTATAATATTTTCCACTTATGTATGTTAAAGAAACATAAATGCATCAATGAGGGTGTTTAAGAAAATTTACGTCTTCAGTTGGCGCCACTGTGACATGAGGTCTTTTGTATGAATTTAAATTGATCCACAGACTATGACAATATACGTGATGAGACATATGAGTAGATCTTTCGGTTCAGTGCTGCCACCTGGCACCGGTTATTCCAGAGAACCCTCGTTTCATGTTTCAAAATTACAAAACTTTATTAAACGAACACATTAAAAACCACTAAAACACCAATAAATTATTTATGATAGGTAGGAGACACAGCTCTACAGATTATGCAAAATTCTTAAAATTCTCTAATCACTTACAATTTTCAACTTTAATATCTAGGTTCAGAGATCAAAATCAATTTCAGGATTGGACATTTTGTACTGGCCTGACATGCTGTTGTCTGTACAAAAAAATCAATCGGACATGAAATCAGTTATGGAAAAAAGGCTAAGCCTCTAGCAAACAAATATGAATGATTACCGTTAACATATAACTATGAGTATATTTTTCTTCAAAAACTTTTAAACTAAAATAAAATAATGCACATATTTTGTCGTTTTAATTAACTCTGTTTTAAATATTTGATATAAAGCATTGTGTACCTCTTTGGGATAGGTATTATAAACAAATTGTCTTCATATTGACGGATTTCTTTACATAATTTAAAAAAGTAGGTTTTACATATTTCAAGAAACATTTTCTTGTTACTGCCCTTTCCATGGTTGCTATGTAAACAGTTTTACATCAAAGAACCAAAGGTACCCTAGAAAATAAACAAAATTGTCAAAGAACTGATTCTGTTCCAAATTTACGTTGAATTATACCTAATACAAGACTGGTCATAAAGTTTTGATATTTTAGACATAATGATAAACACACAAATCCTTTTTCTTTTTAAAGACTTTATACCTAATAAACAAAATTCTTTACAAAAATATGAATGTTTCATTGTTATAAGTAAGTTGTTGTTTATTTGTTTCTTAGGTTTTCACGCACATCACTCATTAAATAAAACTAGTTTTTACGGGTTAATGCACGAAACTTTATTTATTTATTGACGTTTATATAATAAATAAATAAAGTTTCGTGCATTAACCCGTAAAAACTAGTTTTATTTAAGTTGTTGTATGTATTTCGAAAGAACACAATCGACATGAGTCATCCCCAACACTTTTTCAAAATACAGAATACTTACTTGTATTGTACAAATAAAAATAACAAGATATACAAAAATAGGCACCTTAAACTAAAATTACAGAATAAAAAAATTAACCTAAATAGAAAATTTCAATTATTATTATATAACGATAAAACGATTTGGTGTGAGATTGTGTAATCGCTCCTGCTATGAGAACTAGCTAGCAAGAATGCGCCAAACGTTGTGCTTGAGCAATTCAAAATGAATGAAGCTTAAAAAAAATATCAGGGACTTTAAAAGAATACGAAAAACGAGGACGGAAACTGGCGTAAATACAATGCTAGCTGCTGTATTCAATGTAGCACAGCTTTTAACAATGTTGCACTGACGCCACGCGTTAATAGTCGTACCCACTCAACACCAGAGGAGCTGATTTCAGTATGACTCTATTTTTTGTGTCGTAGTTAAGTAAACAACTCGCATTTGTGCAATTACACATAGAAAGTAATGCTGATTGATGATGTGATTACTATTAGTTTATTCAGCAAATGGGAGTTTTACGGTGTCTCAAAAAGTAAATTTTTATTTCATTGCAGATCAAAGGCAGACGAGTAGACGGCTCACCGATGTTATAAGTCGCGGCACGAAACTCTAACGCTGACCGTTATTGCGCAGAAGTAAATATTAAGATGTCTTGAGGGGAAACGAGGTGCGAGGGGCGTGCGTTGCGTCGATTGGCTCTCCAGTCGTACCCAGGCGCAGCTATCCCCTCCGCGTTTCTTCAGTGTTAAAGTTACGTACCAAGACATGTAAGTGTGACAAAGTAGTGCCGCTGCTTTTCATGAAATACTATTTTTAAACCTCGTCAATTCAATTACAAAACGTATCAGATATATACCTATTTTTTATTAGAAAAAATCTTCCATTTCTAGTTTAAAAATTCTGTAAAAACTAGCAACTTATTTATTTAAGCTTCACTCATTATTACCGTAAAGTTCTTATAGCGTAAGCATATAATTCGTAGCACCAAAATGTATTATGTACAACTTAGAAGAAATGTGCAGCCAAGCCAACGGTGGTGGATATTATTTGACATTGACAGCGCCTTTATTGGATGGTAATTAGAGCTTTATTCGTAGTGTACGTATAAACCGCAAACGTTGGCATAACTGGACTTGTAGAAAAAGACAAGATAGGGACTAGGTATGATTATAATCGTTGTGGCGTCGAATAATAATAATATTATTAATTGATAAATGTATATGGCATTTATAGATTTGTAGGATAGACGGTGGCGTACAAAAAAATCGAAGAGCTCAAGGACCAAGTTAAGCGATTCGATTCGTTTATTATATACCATGTGTTCAAAGCAGGTAAGCTCAAAGTAGCACATAACTCAAGATAATTTATAAAAATGATAAATAAATATGTCTGCTGAGAAAGATGAATGGCCCAATACTCAAATCTGAGCTTTCACATTGTCTGCAAACGGTTTTCATAAAAACGCTTTTATTTTACCAAAGCAGCTTTCTTTATGCAAGTGTAACTTAAACTAATACGTTAAGCTTAATTTCGGTCGAGTTGTATATATAACATGTAAAAATACCTACGCAGTACAATTTTAGCATTTTCATCTAGCACGAACTATGTTAATATTCTAATATCGACTCTTTAACGGTGACGATAAAGCTCATTTTCTATAACATCAATTTTCACCTGGTTTACACATTAACCTACACATGTGTTTAGTTTTTACAAAAGAAAGAAAGACTTTTTTATGGAAACATGATAGATGAAGATAGTTAGAGGTACTAATTTGAAAAGAAACATTTCAAAACTAAGTAAAGGTTTATAATAACGCTACTTAATTTCTTCCATTGCTGTGTTTGTCTATTTTAAACATATTATTATCTGTTGATCTAAAAAAATATCTGTCTAAAGCTATTGGGTGTGAGATTTATGTATATTGATTATTCCCAGTCACAGAAAACAATCATTTTTTTAGTTTAAAGAAACAATGCGGTAATTTCAATATTTCGTTGAATACTTTCCTCTTTTATATGTGTGTGTTTCTAAGTTTTAAGAATTCTATTGTGTTAGACGTGATAAAGTTACTACTTACACAACAGCTGACAAAGCGGTTACTGTGTACACATCACATTTAGTTAATAGTTATACGTTTAACCATAACGAAGTATTAATAATATGAATCTGTCCTACATAGAAAGAGCACATTTAAATTTACATAACATACAGACAAACTTACAAAGCAGTATTATATTTATCACAATATTTGATGGTCCAACACATGTTTGTTTCACAAATATAATATATTTCAGTTATTTTTGAATAACATATATACAATGACCTTATTTAGAGGGACATAAAAAATTGTACAGTCGAAAATTGAAGTGTAAATGACTTGCAATAAATTCATATTTTTACTGGCAACAGGTTATGAATGTATCGGTAATAAATTGATAATGACTTTTGTAAACTTTTCAAGTATTAATTACTTCAAAAAAGTTAACTTCACAAAGAATAAAGTACTTCAAATAAGTATTTCAATCGTCTGTACAACCTTACGTTATGAGAATTTTAGAGGCAATTTTATTTTATTTATGACAGTATTATAATAATATAGCTGTCAAAAAATAACACATGGTTCACTTTTACTAATATGCTAGTTGTTGAAAAATAAATAAAAATTGTTAATGAACAAGTTGTAGTCATGTATTTAAAGAGCTATATATAAGTTCTTCTTTTAATATATAATTTTATTCATTGCTAATTAATTATCTAACACGTTAACTACTTATAATATTCATATTGGACTGGAACGATTGAGCTTGTTTTAAAATGTCTAGCTGGATTTTATATCTTTGTTGTGCAAAATGATTGTTATTCAATTAGTAGAAAGTTAAAACTTTCTAAAATTTAAGGAATATTAATGAACATAAAATTAAGTAGACAAGGTTTATATTTGCGTTTAAACTTGCACTCATCATAAACCCATTTTTTTTGGAAACATTAACTTATCTTTGATTTTTGTATATGTATAGGTACCTCCTCTCTGTACTTTCTATAGTAAACGCATCTGTTAGACTTTTGTGAAGCGTAAAAACGATTTCAATAACATTTGGTATTAAAAATGTAATTTTCGAGTTGTAAGCCTAATATTGAAACTTTACCCTTTTAAGATGTAATAAAGGTGCATAATAATATATCTTAAATGGCACTAGAAATTATAATAAGTCTCAATTTGATACGTTCTGACCTCAACACGTTTGAAAACTTAGACAAGATCATTTGCTATGTAATAAATGTAGATAGAAATACTGTGTCGATTCTGGCATAATTGTCTAAACCAAAACTTAAATTTGACCACAGTGTATCCTTTTCATTCATTCTTCATACTCTATACAGAATGAAAAGGAGAGACTGGTATCGATTCTGACATGATTCTCTACACCTAAACTTAAATTTGACAACAGTGTATCTTTATCATTCTCTATGCAGAATGAAAAAGAGAGACTGATGTTAAATTTAGTTTTAAGTTTAGATAATCATGCCAGAATCGACACTAAGGGTTGTTATCGTACTACACAAGTTTATAATCACTATACGACTGTGGGAGCATCACACGGTGCACTCAGAGCCGTAAAAACAAATTTGGCATCGTTAATTTTGATACGGCCACTTTCTTTGCTATTCTATTAAATGCAACATTAATGGTCGTTTCGGAGTACAGCCGTAAAACTCTTATTTAGGTTATCTGTAGTATAAAAATAGATTAACTGAAATCACGCAGCTAGTTATATTTATTCAGAGAAAGCCTTCAATTTGAAAACGATTGAATTTAAACTCGGAAATAAAATCAAATAATAGGATATCATGTTATAGGGTGTAACGCGATAGTTGAAAAAGGAGAGAAATAATGCATTTTGTCATTTATGTACCAAATAGAACGTTCTTAGTCTATACCATACTATTATCGTGGTGCTTAGGTTAAAACAAAAAGGGAAGATACACCATTCGCGGCTCAAAAGTGATCCACTTAAATTGTGGTGCATTACCACAATTCGGTTTAGTCACAATAGGCTAGTTGACTCATGTCGAATTGTATTAAATAAATGTTTATTTCTTAAAGTATTTGGTCTAAGGAACCTAAATATATCGATTTCACTTCGTAAAAGCAGAAGATTGCTGTAGAAATTTAATTTAAAAAAATAATAATTAGTCTGTACTTTTTAAACACTAAAAACGCTGTTCGCCACATTCGCCATGATTGTGACGTCTCTTTTAGTAAACAACTAAATGTCATTCATACATAACTTTAAAACTTGTATTATTAAAACTGATAATAAATGAAGCGACTTATAATATTATTCAATGAGTACTTAGATCAAAGTGATCTTCGCAAAAATAACTTTCACTATGATTCGATAAAATTGCAGGATCACTTTTAGCAAGTTCTAACCAGGTAATGCGTAGGTTAATTTCTTTCGGCACTCCACAACTTTCCTGGAGTCTTCAAGGATGTGTTTTTACTTCTCGTACAATACAATAATGATAATTACTATATATTTTTCGTGGTATGTATATATTAGAAATCATGTTTTTTTTATTATAAACGCAGATAGGTTATTTTCTACGTGCTTACGAGTTTTTGTTTACTACCGTCGACGTCATAGCATAGATAATCTATAGACTAAAATGGCCGACAGCGTTTTTGTATGTCCATGAAGTCTATTTTAAAATTAAAGATTTGTAGCTTTCTAGGTCTCAAAAAAATACAATACATTTTTTTCGGTGTAATAGAACATTTATTAACCATTTAAAACCTTTTTCCAAAAAGGGTCAACTAGCCTATTGGACATTCAAACACGCTGCATGTGCAATCAATATAACAATATTGCGTATATTCTGTGTTATAGAGATAAAACAATGCCTTCGATGCTTTTATAAAGAGCACAAATAGTTCAAGATGAAATAACAAATGTCTCGGAAACACTTTTCATTTATAAACTATGAAAACATTTTTTTTCTCAAAAATCACGATTTGTTGTGAATGTTATTTACTTTTTCGCTATTTGTTATCAAGAAAAGGACAACAATACAGCTCAGCCATTTGTAGAGAGAGAAAAGAAAACACAGTCGCCATGCCAAGCGACCCGGACTCGCCATTTCGCTCGCGCTGCGTTTAAGCGTATAATTCTGTCTCTCTCGCTCGATTTAATGTTTATTTATAGAAATGTGCGTGCGTGAGAGTTGCTTATGTAGTCGAAGCATATTTTATTTGATCGTATCTTCCCTTTTTGTTTTAATCTAAGTCGTGGTGTGGTCAGAACATAACGAAAAAAAATATAAATTGAGGCCGACTTGCACCGTAGCCGTAGCTCTAAATTCAAATATTACATTTACAGTTAAAAAGTGATAGAATGAGGCATAAACATAATAGACTTTTAAATTTGAATTAAGAACTTTGGTGAAAGTGGGCCTGAATATCATTTGGACTGAAATAAAAATATAATAAAAAAACATCGAATGAGAATTTAAATTAGGAACATGTATGTTACTAAATTAAAATTAAGATCTATTCATTCATTTTCTTAATTATATACTTTTTTTTTAATATAAAATGCGTAAATGTTTTTATTTCACCTTATGTATAAGACTGTGCACTCTATGTTCCTCCTGTAAGACCATATTTCACTAATATACAAGCTTTTTTCAAACCATTATGATTTTAATGTGCGATAATCTTTTATATGAAATCGAGCCGAAGCAATGGATGGTGACGGACGACCCAATCTCGACCTTAACGTATTGAGTTAAAAACATAGATCTGCTTTTATCATAAACATGATAATCAGTCAAGATTTACCATTTACGAAAACATGACAACTATATTTTGGAAAGCACACATGTACTTTAACTTTTAATTACTTTACAAAACGGCTAAAATTAAGATAACCGGAACCATGAACTTTATTCAAATTCTCGTCATACATTATTGCAGCCTTATTGAAACGTCTTAAAGTCGACTTTCACTTGTCATAATATCCTATAACGCCACTCTTTCTGTTCAGTTAAAAGCGATGGTGGCTTATTTTTCGTCCATCAAGTAGATTAATATCAAAAAGTATTGGACACGTTTTTTTTTCTTTATACACATAATCAAAACATGACAGAGTTGAATTGATTTGAAATGTCGTATGACGTCATGTGTTGGTAAAATTTTTATTTACACTCCCAAACTTTTACGCGCTTTATCTTAGTAATTTTTTGGTTGATTGACAAAATAAAAAAAACGTTTCCATTCTTTTTTAATAATCTAACTGACAACCTAAATTAGAATTTACTTTCATTTTCCCCGTCATCATCCCTATTTAAGGGTGTTATACAGGGGGTTCCAAATGTTCTTTTGGCATAGATGGCAGCACATGCACTTGTTTTGCCTTTCCCGCGTGATATACCTGACCTGGACTGAAGGGTTCCAATCGTGGATGAGCTGAGATATCCTTCTTTGGATCTGTCGGAAGAATACATCGTAGATTATTGAAGAGAAATTGATACTGATTTGTGGTAAGCATTTTGTTGACGACTGGAAGGGTGAATCAATTTAATAGTTGAAGTGAAAATGATCCTACTAATATTATAAATGGGAAAGTTTTTATGTTTGTTACTCTGTCACGCAAAAAGTACTGGAAGGATTTGGATGAAATTCGTATATACGCATACAGTTTACGAACTCGGTTGAGACAAAAGATACTTTTCACCACGGAAAAATTACAGGTCCCTGCGGGATTCTCAAAAAAATTAAGGATAACGCAGGCAAAGTCGCGGGCGGCCGCTAGTCAAACTATAAACAAAGACGAAAAAGTATGCGTGTACGAATAATGAAATGTATATTTTTCAGTGTCGAACCTAAGTAAGTAGTAGTTTTTCGACATTCATGTAATATGCTTGTTAAAACTGAAATGAATGAATTCGAATTTACCTTTAGTATTAGCAGGTATGTACTTAGAGAGTCGTACGGTGGGTAAAGGTAAGTATCCAGCAACTAGCGGCATGACGTCCAGACTAACTGACTGCGGCTCTGTGCTGCTGCATTCCATAGTTATTACTCCTGCGATAGAATCATATATTAATAATTGATGTGAAACATCTTTAGGCGCACGTAAAACCGATTTCTGGCGTGACGTGGCATGAGTCGCCATATGATGGTATACAGGGTGTAAAAAAACCTATGACAAAGACAAAAACTAAGCATTGTGTTCATCCAAAAAAGTAATATTACATAACATTATACGTGGGAATCATTTGTATTTCTAAGTTAAAAAAAATACTACAATACTACAATGTACAGCGCGACGCGCTACTGTGGCGCTACGCAAAGAATGTGCCGTTGTGTGCGTCTGTGTGCGTCGATAAGAAAAAATAAATGTGACTTTGATCTTCAATATCTCCAAAATCATAAATTTCCCAGGTATGTGGAAAATACGTGGCCTACGACCTCGTTAAAGGATTTTTTACACCCTGTATATATACAGTACTGTGTACGGTGTGGCGACGCGTCGCCATGCCGCCACGTCATGTAAGGTTCCAGGGCTCCACAGGGTAGGGGATGTGGTCAGGGGAGGCAGCGCCGTCAGTGATGCTTTTGATATCGCAAGCGTCTATAGGCTATGGTGCCACTTACTGTCAGGCGGGCCATATAAGCTTGTTTGACAGCCTTTTAACATAAAAAATGAGCGTAATTATGACCACACGACTGAAGTGAAACTTCTTTAGCTCCATCTGTATGTATGTATTTAAATGTGTATATATATAAATATATTTATGTGCGTGTGTGTACAATAATATTATATATACATGTATGTACATATACATATTTAATTTACTATAAGAGAAAGAGATAAAGAAAATGTGCGCGCGCACTGCTTTCTCTTGCTTAAATCCCCCGCTCAACTCCCGTTCGCCTCGCCAGAACACAATTTTCGTGACGCGATACGATCGATCGATACGCGTAACGCATTTGGCAGCTTACTCCCCAAGTCAAGCGTGCATAAAGAAGTTTCACTTAATAAATCCTATATTTACACCAATTAGTCTAGCATTAGTAAGAACGGGAGCACGTTAAGCCGTTAGACCGGGCTGTATATGTAGCCTTTAGCATTCACCAATCAGCAATGGGCGCGCGTGGTGGGTCAGAAGGAAGGCTTATGCCCCGGCAGTGGGGACATTAATAGGCTGATGAAGATGATTCTAGGGATGCAAGGTAACGGATAGGTATATGGAGTAGTGATACATAGATTCGATCAAATAGGACAAACATACCTGCGGTCCGACCAAGAACCGCCCACATCGTCTGATCAGCCAACACTTCGTACATCAAAGAAGTGTACTCTGTTTCGTTTACCTGTAAAATATTAAGCAGATTATTATCACATAAAGTGTCTATTCTAAATTTGTGGCGGTTGTGAAGTTAGCAGTGAGCGTAACTATGCGCAAGTTTCAGTTTAGACACATCCTCAGAACGAGAACTGTACCCTTAGTACGAACCAATATCGAATTCGTAACGTTTGCGAGTACGAAATGTCATTGTCAAAATGGAAACTTGGAGGAGCTCGATAGCGCAAGTGGTTAGCGCGTTCCGCTGCGATCGTTGAATTTAAGCACCTTTCGCAGTGGTCGGTCATTGGATGGGTGACCGCAAATTTACTATCTCGAGCTCCTCCGTGCTTCGGAAGGCACGTTAAGCCGTTAGTCCTGGCTGCATCTGCAGTCGCTAGCACCCACCAACCCGCACTGGGCCCGAGTGGTGGGTCATAGCCCAATCTCCCTATTCCATCCATAGGAAAGGCCTGTGCCCCAGCAGTGGGGACATTAATAGGCTGATGATGATGATGATGATAATGACGCACGCTGTTCATAGAAACATATATTTTGGTCTATATGTAAAAATAAGATAACATGAGTCGACTCTATGAGTTGAATTTAAACCTTCAGGGACGCCAATATTTTTAAATTGCACTCTAAAATATTCGCTGAAGGTGAGAGTGGAAACATTTTGTGCATACTAGGTACAAAAACAGGTAATTTTTACACAAAAGATAGGTTCAGATTGTTTGTATCGGACCCCTACCTTATGTAGGGAAGAACCCCTACCTTATGTAATGAAGAACTCCTACCTTATGTAGGGATTCTTTCCCTAGTAAATGGTCCGCATGTAGAACAGTTAAATGTCACTGTTCTGAGAGTCATTGCCTGATAATTCTGTTGCCACAAGCGTTCCCAAGCTATTATTTTATAAGGCCTTGCCAATCAATAAACCTACCTTTTGAATATACAGACAAAAACATGTCTAGATGAAGAGTTTTTGAAAACATTGATACGATATTTATTAGTGTAAAGTGACTCCAAAAAAAGTTGAAATAGTTAATTATGTTGTTCATGTAGTAAAAAAAACAGTAAAAATTATGTTTCTAATATGGCGTGGCAACGTTTCTCTAACCAGAATGACGTCTATCAGGTATGTGACGTCGAAAGGCTGTCATCGTAACGTAAAACAATACAAGGTAATGTCACTACGACAGTATATTTACAAGGCGGAGACGTAATTTTAACCTAACGCCTAGGTTTGGCGGAGACTAAAATGATAATAATAGATCAAAAATACTTTTATATGTCATGATTTTAGTCATATTTTCAACTACTTACGTTTTTTTGACAGAATAGTGAAATCGTTTCAAATATTCATGTTAAATACACATGCCAATAATTATTACTTTAATTTTTAAACTGTCAAATAGCCTATTGAGTAACAAAACTTTTAATTGTATAGTAACATGTTGTGTTTCTGACTGTACGTACAAGTTTGTAAAACTATCAAATTTCTCCAATCCATTCCGATCTTTCATCTCCTTAAGTTTAAAATTATTTGAAAAATATTTCATATTTCTCCAACTTATTTCCAACCTTTTTCTAGTTTTATACAAGGTTCAGAATCCTTTCACAGAATTAACCATTTACTGTTTACTTTACCTTGGAAATACAAAAACATGAACCACTTACCCTCTGTACACTTAGCTGCAAACAGCACACTTGCGAAGCCCTACAAAAGTCTGATCCTTTGCTCGGCTCCAGTTTAGTTTTGACCACGAACAGCGTCGTATAGTCCTGTATGTCGAACGGGCACGAGAACGTTCTAGAAGGTTCTTCTATATGCAGCGGCCTGTATTGGACGGTGAACGTAGCTTTCATAGGATCGCCTTGAACTAAAGGATCCTTAAGGAGTTCCCACATGAATGATGCTGTTGTACCGTCGGAGGCGACGATCTAGGGATTAAGAGGGTGACTTTATTGGCGTTAAGTGTCTCACAGACAGAAGCGGTCTGCGGCCGCGGCCAAGCCTTGTTGGTTGATCGTGTTTGAACACTCGCTTACATTGCAAGCGAATACAACTGGCCGCCACCCTGAACGCAGTCTGTTTGTGGGACACTTTAATGAAATTAACGTAAAATATGTCATTATTATTTATTAAAATGACCGCGTAATTTCCTACTTTTCCTACTTTTCCTCCTACAATTTTATTTCCTTTCATTTCCTCACTTTTCCTATTTTTCATCATCTGCAGATATTTAAGATTTAACGCTAGTTGAAGGGTAAGAATAATTTATTTATTTATACTTTATTGCACAAATGAGTGTACAAGTGGCGGACTTAATGCCATTAGGTATTCTCTACCAGTCAACTGGAAAATTGTAGCAAAGATCTAAAAAGGTAGTGCAAAAATAATTCATCTAAATATTTATTATAATTGAAGTATATCATTGAAACAAGATAATATATAAACTACATAAAATACATATTTATATATATACACATACAAATCTATATCATATCAGGAGGATGCAGATGAGGAATCTAATAAATGATGACGTACGGAGCGTTTAAAAGCTAGTTTGTTCGGAGCACCTTGAATATGAGAAGGCAGTGCGTTCCAGAGTCGTATAGCTTGAAGAGAAAATGAGTTGGAAACAAAACCAGTATGGTGAGAGGGAATAATAATAAATAATAAATATTTCCAACATTCACACCAATTAGCCTAGCCCCAAAGTAAGCACTGTAAAGGCTTGTGTTATGGGATACTAGGGTAACGCATAGAATACATATATTGTACATATATAAGTATATTTATATGAAATACATATTAAAACATCCATGACTGGAGTACAAATGCTCGTATTCATCACAAAAACATCTGCCCCCACCGGGATTCGAACCCGGGACCTCTCGAGTTGGCGACGCCATGAAACCCGGCGTACAAACCACTCGGCCACGGAGGTCGTCAATAGCTGCTAGACCGAAGATTGAGATTGTGAACTTGGTTACTTATATTTTTGAAAAAAATAACTAAAACATAGGTTGCGGGAGATCAAGTTCCAAATAAAATACAACAACTCACCATATCGCCGGCGCTCTTTGGGTTCAAATCCGACACATTATTGTTCCCGTCGCACTCCAACTTTGGTTCTGTCAACGCGAACTGTATGAGATGGGCCACTGTACATTTCAAAGTGACGTGAACAAACTTCCTAGTGTTCGATGTGAGCAGTCGCCACGACGCCAACATGGGAGGCGAGAAGTGTAAGGGCACTTCTGTAGCGTTCTCCCACCATGGGCAGTTTAGCCATACCTGAATCGAAAACAGTAGTAGGCATGTTTAAGGATTTGCTATAATCTATTCAATTTCCTCTGACACAAATGGTAATAAAAATAAACCATTGTTTCTATAACTATTTTATCGAGTGTAAAGATGGTTGGTGAAACAAGAGTGGTGAGAGGTAACATGGTGAGACAGGTGATCACAAAATTTAGCATTTCAAAATTATTTGCTTCATCACTGTCTAGCTATCACGCTTCATGAGATACAGTCTGGTGATAAGACAGACAAACGGACAGTCGAATCTTAGTAATAGGGTCGCGTTTTTCTCTTTGGGTATGGAACCCTAAAATGTGCAACATAGACGGAACCTCGACGTTCCTTTTCATTCATTTCCTCCATATTTAACCTCTTCCATCATCGCTAATTTTATATAATATAATTCAAATATTCAGGAACCTCTTACGTTTCTGGGTTTCTTTATTTACTTCTTTAAATATACTATTTCAAGCTTAATTGTGATGGATTTGCTTGCTTTGCTTGAACCCTTTATTTTAGCTGACTGGCCTTAGCAGAAATCGGTTTGGTAAACATATTCAAAATATAAATAGACCTAAAAATCTGGATCCTATTTCAACAAGTATGAATAAAAGGTGAGTTCTTATACAGGAGAATTTAAAAAGAACTAATTTTATGTTCAAAGAATAATTCCGCATAAGCAAAACCGGACTTACAAACTAAAGAAATTGGTAGTTCTGATTTACATAAAAGCTCTCTCTCTAAATTAGAAATGATTATTCGGCGATGACAGGTTTTTCTGTAGAGTTCTCCCACCCACCAGTTTAGCTATACCCTGTATCAAATGTCAAAGATACGTGTTCTAAGTATCTCCAAGACTGGATTAGATTATTATATAGAAACACAATATATGGAAACTCTTTAACTTTGGATGATTAGAAAAACCCAGACATTCTTTAACTTTAACCACCGACTAAATGCGTGGTTCTGTCTGATTTACAAAACAGCATTCGACATGGTTTTATTTTATCCTGAATCAAAAACAGGTGTATATATAAGATGCGGTTTTAATTCTTTTCAGGATGGGGAAGGAAACGCAAAGCTCATTATAGATGGCGCTTTGGTCGTTTGGCTCCTCACAGGCAACTTGTTACTTTAAGGCTGCGTTCTAAACTTATGCTCTGAGTCCAACTTTTTACCCTTACGTTTCAATTTTGACATAAAATGTATGAGTTTTGTCAAATTTGACAAATGTCAAACAATAACAAATGTTCTACCTGGAGCGTAGGTTTGGAATACAACCCAAGTCTATCGGAATTTGTCAGTTTTCCTTGTTATCGTGGAGGTTAGAAAGAAGGAGAACAATCGCATCGCGTATTAAAGCATTAGCCGCCTGACCCTGAAAATTTGTAGAATTTATAGTTAATTTTTCAGCCACCAGCCGCGCTGCCGTCGGTAAGTAGTATCTGTGAAGTTAGCTATTTATGAGTACAAGTCGATGAAGTTAGTTGAACATTGTACAAATTTTCTTTTCGGCATTGGTAATTTCAAATTAGCCCGCTTTTATTGAGACAACTTAGCGATCGCAGCGCTTCACTTATTTTGTCCAGATTTCTGGGACACTATTTTCTACAGCGATCGTTCTCCTTATCTCTAACCTCCATGCTTGTGACTTTGAGAGCCGGAGCTGTCTCGATTTGTCGCTAAGGGCCTTTCGACACCTGCGCCTCTGGCGGGATAAATTGGCAGTTTTCTTCCCCATTGGATTAAACTTTATAAAAAACACAAAATTCTGGCATGTTACACGTTTATGCAGTATTAATGCATTAGCTTGGCACAAGCGGATGCCTTCGTAGGCAGTCACTAGAGAAGTTGCTCTGTGCCGTATAAGAAATATTTATTTATATACTAGCTGACCCAGCGTACTTTGTATTGCTTACAATAATAATTTGGAAGGAATGATAAACGACGAACGTCAAATGTTTGACAGGAATATAGATAGAATAGTTTATATGGAAAAAAGAAATTGTATTTTTACTATCTTCCTCGCATTTTTTCTATATTTTCTCACCGTTTAAACCTTCCTTGGACTACGACAAACATTTAAAAACCAAAATCAAATAAATCGGCCCATCCGTTCTCGAGTTTAAGCGAGACTAACGAACAGCAATGAATTTTTATATATATAGATATATTATAGATAGAGTCGTCAAATCATCCAAAGTATGATTAAATTGTTATTGTGTTTATATATGGATATAAATATTATGTTTATGTCTTTGTATTTTTTTTTTCTTGTTGTACATAATTATTTATAAGTATTATTAATGGAAGTTTCACTTTAAATGACACCATCTACTTCCCACTCTCTATGTAACAGTCCAGTTAACATACGGTTACCTGGAAAAATTACTTCTTAGTGATAAGGCCGCCGTTTGTACTATAACGCAATAGTCTTAATTAATTGTAATTTACAATCTCATGGTGTACAATAAAGTGATTCATTCATTCATTCAAAGATTTATTTAGTAGAGGTGCCCTGCGGTTTCGCTCGCATTAATTGGAGGAAAAAGGTTATAGTGACCCTTAAAAGACAGACATATGCTGTCGCGGACTTTTTTAAAGAACTTTCAATGGAGAACAATTCCCTCATACATGATTTTTGTGTAACTTCTACCGCTTGCGTGCGCTGCAGAAGCTCACAAATGGAATATTTTTTCAAGTTCTTGAAGCAATTTTCCTCTCGGTCGTATTCTTATGTTACATAGCCTATATACCTTCCTCGATAAATGCGCTATCCAACACAAAATTATTTTTAAATCGGACCAGTAGTTCCAAAGATTACCGCGTTCAACCAAACAAACAATCAAACAAACTTCCGCTTTATAATCTAATATATAAAATTCTCGTGTCACGGTGTGGGTAATTAAACTAATCCGAAACGGCTCGACCGACTTTCGTGAAATTATATGCATATTCAGTAGGTATGAGAATCGGACAATATCTATTTTTCATCGCCCTAAATGTTAAGGGTGGTCCCTTAACCCTTAATTTTTTTTTGCATAGCTGGGACAGCTAGTATTAGTATAGATACTTACAGTATGCTCTATACTCTTCTCCCTCTTGGGTTGTAAACTGGCGAAAAGCTTCAACGGCACTTTAGTAGTTTCAAAGGGTTTGCTCGGCGGCACCGGTATAGTTAATTCGCGTGTCATATGAAAATCCTCAGCGAAACGTATGAGCAAGCCTGCTGAAGTTTTGAGGACTATCGACGTGTTCTGGAAGATTAAACTAATTTAAATAAGATATATTTTTTATTTGCATGATTTAACATAAGAAGGAGATAGAAAACCTCTCTGAGTTTGTTTCGCCGGTTCTTCTCATAAAGGTCACACAATTTTGGAACCGGTAGTAATTTACGGTATTTAGGGTCCAATGATTTATTCATTCTCGAAATAACAAACAAGAATTTTAAATAAAGTACTTTATTTATTAAATTAGCTAATAAATTCATACATAGACATTAAAGTTTTAAAAATCTTCCAATGAAATATTCAAACGCTCAATAAAAGTCTTTCGAAGGTAGCTCGACAAAGTAAATAAAAAATCATTATTCAGACGACAATAAATATATAACTTCAGTACATCTAACCCGTAAAAACTAGTTTTATTTAATGAGTTCAATGCGTGAAAACCTCAGAAACAAATAAGATATATGTATTATATTTTTCATTTTCCAGCATTTACTGTTAGATGTATAAATCTTAAAAGAAGAGATGGCACTGGCTAAGAGCTGAGGTTAAGAAATACTAAAAGTAATTCGACACGGCCAATAAGGTGGTAGCATTACATTGGGTTGGAGTCCCGTCTGCTTCCTGGAGCGCGTGGAATTGTATCTAGTAAAGTATTATTTTAATTTATATAGCATTTTAAGAGGAGCTCGATGGCGCGGCCGGCGGTGGTAGTTAAGCAACTTTCGAAATGATCGATCATTGGATGGGTGACCAAAAACTTATTATATCGAGCTCCTCCATGGTTCGGAAGGCACGTCAAGCCTTTGGTCCCGGCCGCATCTGTTGTCGTCAGCACCCACCAATCCGCACTGGGCCCGCGTGGTGCGTCATGGCTCAATCTCCCTATGCCCTCCAAAGGGAAGGTTTGTGCCCCGGCAGTGGGAATATTAAAAGGCTGATGATGATATATCATTGTTATGTAAAACTTGTGATTTTGTGGTTATACGACCGTGGAAGCAACTGAAGAATTAGTGGGAACTTGAAAATATGTGTTATTTCGGCCACCCAAAGAAACATTAGAATGCGTCTCACCCGCAGTTCAATTTAAAAAAAGGAAAAACTAAATAAAAAAATGTTGTATGGACACAGTATCTTTTGTCTACTCGTATAGGAAGAAATAAAAAAAAAGGCTTTGAGTTTTAACTACCTCTTTTATCTGCGAGCTGCCACTAGTAACGACGAGTTCCATTGCATGTTCCAAACCAGCAACCAAATCCTTCTTCGGCTCAACTTTATTCAAGTAAACACTAACACCTTGAGTGACCACATCGAAACCCACTTTATTACCGATTAAAACGTTCGATAGAAACTCCAATTTCCCTTCAACGAGCAAAGAAACTTGGCCTATTTTAAAAGTACCGCACTTATCAGGCATATACTCAAGCATTAGCTCATTCAAACCAGGTTTCAAAACCACGTTTTCTTGCTTAAAGCACGTTTCATAGTTGTTCCGCATAGAAGCAGATGGTTTCCTGTATTTGGTGCTGTCAGAACGCTTTAAAGTCACTTTTGGGTTGTGGCACTCTATCGTTGCCTTCTGTAGACTTTTGTCTTCTTTGTAAAGTAGCTTTGATGTTATTTGTAGAGGATTTAGTAAAGGATTCTTAGGTTTTAAGTCGTCTAATCTTATGCTGAAATTGTAATGGAGAGGTTAGGTGGTTTTTGGACTTATTCATCAGGCAGTTTTGGACACAAGCGGTTAGTCCCATTGCATCTGTAGCACCCACCAATCCGAGCTGAGCATGCGTAGTGGGTCCATTATGTTGAACGAAAAATTGAATTTGATAGGTAATCTTTCAAATTAAGTATAAACTCACATTGAAGAAATGAAATTTTGTTAAATTTTATTACCGAAAGTTCGTTTTGGAGAAAGAGAGTAGACCCCTTGTTCATAGTTTGAGTCTGTGAAAATATTAAAGAGCTAATAACTGATATATCGTCAGAAATAATTTAAACTTCTTAGAAGCTATCGGGCTCAAAGAGATATTTCAATTTGGTGGCGAGTCGCAACAGATTTTTGTGGTCGCAGAGACTACAGTTGCATTGAGGACTGTATACCCTAAAAATTACAATTAAAATCAATAAAATAATATCTGATATGTTCACAAACTCACCTGCTAATTAAATTAGAAACTTCACTATCCGCAGACACGTCAGAAGTTTTCCTTTGCAAGTTAGTCTGCGTACTTACACTACCATTAACATTTAAATCAGTCTTATAGCTTTTGACCGGTGTCTTTTTCTCTTGTATGTCTTCTTTGCAGGTTTCTATGCTGATGGCCGCTCTATTGCAGGTCACTTCTTTGGGGAAGAAGCTTTCGACTAGCAAGCAACATTGAACCTTATTCTCGGTGATATAAAGTCCACGGTCGGATGGCACGAGAGTGGCTGAGATTATTTTGAAGCATTCGTTGAGCTCGGCGAGCACTGAGTCAGTTTTATCTCTAAGATCCACGTTAATGGATTTGGTCATCTCCTCGAAATAGAAGTTTCTGACTAGGATTTCTAATTCGGATGTACACGATATAGTAGCAGAGAGCTTTGTGTATCTAAAAAGGAAATATACTAACAATGAAATTAAGTAAACTTTTCAAATTATGAATTTCTGATGACAAATAGCATGGTCACTTATATATGCTAAATGCTCTGAGTAGCTTGATAGCGCAGTGATCTGTGATTGTGGAAATTAAGCAACTTTTGCAATGGCCGGTAATTAAATGGGTGACCAAGCATTTATTGTCTGGAGCTCTATCGTGCTCGAAAAGTATGTTAAGCAGTTTGTATCGGTAGTCTTTGCAATCGTTACCACCCACCAATCCACACTGAGCTTATGTGGTTTTTAAGTTTTTTCTATTGCGTCTACAGAGAGAGAATGTCCAATGGGTTCTTTGAGTCACATTCGTCAGCGAGATCTCTCAGCATTCATCAGGTAAGCTTACATAAAAAGCATTCAACACTTTCTCAATTCTGTTATAATGGTGAACGCATAGTTAGTTTGATGTGTGTGAACGCAGCAGGAGTTTGACAGCTCGTTTTCTTGTTCTATGGCTGTGTGTGTTTTTCTCTCTTTATGGTCATGCAAGTAAAAGAAGTGTAGAGATTGTTTTTACCAATGTTTTAATCCAGTGTAATCCGCCAATAAATAAGTGACTAAGTTATACTTGTTTGCCTTTTATACCCTGCAAAGATGACCTTTACAAATTCGTAAGCGAACATAAAGTTTGTGAGGCATAGAGAAATCTTACCGGTCCGCGTCTCCCATCTTCTTCGCCGCCGCAACTAATTCTAACCTCGTCTGGGCCGCAAGATCTCTCCATCCTTGTTCCTCATATGAACGCAGTGCGTCCATTAGGAACACAACTGCTTTACCAGTTTCGCCTAACTCCGAGTAGAACGAAGCCAAGTCCCGACCGATGAGGCGAGCAAATCTAAAATGTGATATTAGTATATCAGAATGAATGAAAAGCGGGAAAAATCTGAAAGAAGAACTACTACGTTCTTTTGTTTTTAAACATTATTGTTTTAAATCAAATAGAAGAAATATATTGCTGATATAATTTGAAATTATTGGATTGGATAAAATTACAATGAAAGATATTCTACATTTTACATTCCGCAGTAAAATTTTGGAATTAAATGAAACTCAATTGAACATTTTTGTTTTTAAACACTCACACCAATTAGCCTAGCCCCAAAGTAAGCACTATAAGGCTTGTGTTATGAGATACTAGGGTAACGGATAGAATACATATACTGTACATATATAAGTATATTTTTATAGAAATACATATTAAACATCCATGACTGGAGTACAATTGCTCGTATTCATCACACAAACATCTTCCCCCACCGGGATTTGAACCCGGGACCTCTCGAGTCGGCGACACCATGATACCCGGCGTACAAATAACTCGGCCACTCGTCAAACATTGCTACATTCAGTGCTTACACAACTAAAATCTGCCTTTGGCTCTGTTATCCTATCTGCGTGATTCAATCGACAGTTATATGATCATCTCTATCAGAAACCCACCTTAACCTGCCGATGTGTTTATACGTTCCCATAGCGAGTTCAGCCAACTCCAGATAGTACTGCTGGAAGCTAGTTTTACTGCACAGCGCTTCCTTCAGCCTGTCAGTCGGCGTCGGATGTTGATTGTTGTTCTCGCTGTCTCCCATACCAGCTGACAGCATAACCACTAGGTGGAGTTGTTCTGAACTCGGCTCCGGCGAGCCTGGTAGTAAGCCACAGAGCTTACCCAATTCGTGAAGCTAGAATGTCGAAAGAAATAAAATTATTGAAGGAATAACTTCAGAGCATCAGTCGGTGTCGGATGCTGATTGTTTAGCGAGCCGTCACATCATTCTTAAGTTTAAATAATGTTAGTGTATTTATATGTAGATATATTATGTGTTTATTTTTTGGTATATAATTATTTATAAGTATTATTAAAGGTAATTTCACTATAAATGATACCATCTACTTCCCACTCTTTATGTTACAGTCCAGTTAACCTACGGTTGCCTGGAAGAAATTGCTTCTTAGCAATAAGGCCACCGTTTGTACTTTTCATGTAATAGTCTTAATGAATTGTAATTTAAAATTTCATGATGTACAAATCAGTAATAATTCATTCATTGTAATTTATTTTCACTGTCTCCTGTACCAGCTGACAGCATAATCACTAGGCGGAGATGTTCAGAACTCGGCTTCTGGTAGTAAGTCACAAAGCTTACCGAGTTCGTGAAGCTAGAATGTCGAAATGAATACAATGAAGGTATGCATAACTTCAGCTTTTCAGTCGGAGTCGCATGCTGATGGTTATTCTCGCTTCCTCCTATACCAGCTGATAACATAACCACTAGGTGGAGTTGTTCTGAACTCTGCTCTGTTGAACATGGTAGTAAACCAAAGAACTTACTAGTTCGTGAACCTAGAATATCTAAATAAATACAATTAAAGTAGGAATAACTTGATGATAAGAGGTGCTCGATGGCGCGGGTGGTAAGCGCGTTCGGCTGCGATCGTTAAACTTTCGCAGTGGTCGGTCATTGGATAAGTGGCCAAAAATCTTCTATCTCGAGTTCCTCCGTGCTTCGGAAGGCACGTTAAGCCGTTGGTCCCAGCTGCATCTGCAGTCGTTAGCACCCACCAATCCGCACTGGGCCCGAGTGGCGGGTCATGGCCCAATATCCTTATTCCATACATAGGGAAGACCTGTGCCCCAGCAGTGGGGACATTAATAGGCTGATGATGATGAGATATACTTCAGCCTGTCCCTCGGCGTCGGATGCTGATGGTTGTTCTCGCTACCTCCTATGCAAACCCCTCTTTCCCAGTGGGCAGTTTGGGCAAGTGCCCAGGGCCCCGCGATGGATAGGGGCCCACCTAGTTCCTGTTAGATCACCAAACGAGGGTCATAGGGTCCCCATTATCCGAATATGCCCAGGGCCTCCAATAGGTCAAAGATGGCACTGCTCCTATGCCAGCCAATAATAGAACCACTAGGTGGAGTTGTTCTGAACTCGGCTCCGGCGAGCCTGGTAGTAAGCCAGAACTTACCTAAGTCATGAAGCTAGAATGTCGAAATAAATACATCGATGGAAGGAATAACGATTTTATGGCAATGTTCTAAAGGAACTTTTAATAACAAGTATTCTGAAGGAACAATTAATGGAGAATACTTCAAAAGAGCGTCACAATATGACCGGAACATCCGTTATGAAGTAGTGTACGATCGTGCTGTTCAGTTTCCCCTATAAAGTATGTCTCATGTGGTATATGGGTGCCATAGATATTAAGAGCCTGATAGTCAAGTTAGCGGATTCGGCAGAAGAAAGACGACGCTGTAAACATCTTCACCGTGTAGGCCTGAAAACTTTACTCTGGTCTATTTACATATTTTAAGTTTTTTATATATGAATCATATTCAGATACATATGCAGTACAGTCAACAACAGGTCAAGAATTGACAACATTTACCTTATCTTTGGCGTTGTGGAGTAATGGCGCTTGCGTGGCCGTACACATTTCTATCGCGTTATTCGTGGAGGCGAGTCTCTCGCACGCTCTTAAAGTCTCCGCGCAGGCCAACTGCGCCCAGCAAGCCGCGGCGCCTTCCACCGCTGTGGCCCCCAGCAGATCCATCTCAACCAATGTATTGTGGACGGTGCTGAGACATCGTGACGCGATCTGAAAGGTTTGGTGTCTTTTCAATGTATCTTGATGACGTAGATGATCAACGTATTCAGTCTTCCATCGTGGAAGTTAAGCCACTTTTGCAATAGGGATGACGACTAACTTTGTTTTCTTGTCTATCAGATTGATAATCATAAAGTAATAGACACGTATTTTTTCTTTATAAACATATTCAAAACATGACAGAGATATATTGATTTGAAACGTCGCAAGATTTCATGTCTTAGTTCAATTTTACTTAGAAGTGACGTCACGAACCCACACTCCCAAACTTTGATGCGTTTGACAAAAGAACAAGTAAGTGCCAATAACTCTTCGATGATCTAACTGACGCACTAGACTTTTCTTTTACCCTATCCTGTCATCAATATATTGTCGGTCAATGGCTGCCATGCCTGTTTAAAGATTTGAGTTACCATTTACTGCTTGGATTGGCATGGCACCCTCACCAAATGTTTCATCATCATCATCGATCCATGCTCGTCCACTGCTGGACATAGGTCTCCCTTAATGCATGCCACTGCTTCCGATTTTCTGCCACTCTCATCCAGCCCACTCCAGCCAGCCTACGAATGGCATCATCCCATCTTGTCTCAGGGCGTCCCACACTACGTTTACCGAGTCGCGGTCTCCACTCAAGAACTTTACGGCTCCGTCGGCCGTCAGTTCTGCGGCTGATGTGACCAGCCCACTGCCACTTCAGTTTGCTAATTCGGTTAATGTTAATGTTGAAATGTTTATATGACTTTAAATATTCTTTAGGTATAAGTAAAGGATTCCTATTATTGTTTACTTTTTAGTGATTATGTTTCATTATAATAAGTCTGCAACATTCCACGTCGTATGTTTTTTACGTTAACTTACAAATTTGTTTTTTTTTTACAGTTTCAAGGGGCTGTAGATCTGAGTAATGGAGTTTAAATTACAGCTCGATACCTTCACGCGTTCCCGAGATAAAGGGCCTTGATAAACAGACAGACATAAGGGTTTCGTTTTTTCTTTTGAGGTATTAAAAGTAGTTATTCGCGAGCGAGTGACTTCTGTATTTTTATTTAGGGACTGACAAACAGCACTCTTTAGAGCTGATCTTAATGAAGTTTATGAAGTATCCAGGTGCGAAGGTGTTGGTTCGTATATACTTAGAAGGTATATGATGTGCCACATTAATCAACTTCGACTTGTTTAAGAACTTCGGAACACTTAAAAGTTTGTGTATATTTTCGCAAATTCTATTGAAATGAATACACTGGTCACTTTTAATTATCAAAACTCTTTCTAGGGATAGTTTAAGTAAGTATTTAGAGAAATAAACAGTAGTTTGCTCTATACAACCATGAAATCGCGGTGAAACTGCCAAATTCTTATAAAACATCGACTTGTAACAGAGACACTGTTATACTAACAGAACTATACGACTATAATTGGTGATACTTCACAGATGGCTAGCCATGGAGAAAATATCAAATGTCTAGATTTCTTTAGCTGGTCTCTACGTGCATTATGCGACCGTGATCGGCGACAACTGTAGTCAAGCCTAGAAACATGTCAATGCACTTTTGTAATTTTTTATACCTCAATCGGCAAAAATAGAACCCTGATTGGATCACTCGGTTATCCGTCTGTCTGTCACAGTCGATATGCTCGAAATCTACTAGACCGATATCAAATTGAAATTTGGTACATACATATAAGTATGTCAGTGACGCAAACACGGACGAATAAAGTTCTGAATATGGGGGTCTTTTTTATAAATGTAAAATGAATAGTTTAAAAATATTTAGAAAATAGATGAACATTGACTTTTCTTCCCTTTTATCTCCGAAACTACTGCATCTAAAATTTTAAAAATTAAATGTAATAATAGATATTTATAGTATGATGGTGCGCGTGCCAGAGTCCGAGTCGTACTTGCCAGGTTTTTCTTATTGCAATAGAAATGTTATTGTTTTAAACATTATTGTACACGGTGGTTATCAGAATTTGCAGTAATTAATCTTTTGTAACTTTTTTTAGATGGCAAAGAATACTCGGGCCTTATAATGAAAATTTAAACATTATAAGATCTTTAATTTAGTTTTTTTGTAGCATTATTTTATAAGGAATAAACGTGTTAATTTTTTATTCGGTTAAATCGATGTAGCCATAATATTTATAATCCGAATGGAACAATGTAAAATGTATGTAAATTTTTATAGTTAAATAAAATATAACCGTTTTTGCCATTATTTACTCTTTTGATTTTAATTTTTAGTAGTTGAGTTATTTAAACAGACAATTAGAAAACAAGAGGTCGAAAGCAAAAGCTCGCAGCAGCTCGCAGCGGATGCTTTAAATAGCTTAATTTTATTTAAAGAAGCTAATTTAATTGTTTTCGGCAGTATTTGGGTAGCTACGCCACCATTCCCGTGGACTGTGGTTACATTCCCGAACTGGTCAGTGCATGCAACAATTTTTTTATCGTCTCGAGTTTTTTTTATTTATGTAACACAAATTCATTCTACCTTAGGATCAAATCAAATTAGGCATTGACTTATTTATGTATAATAAATTGTAGTGGTGTAAAATAATGAAATACTGCGCACCGTTGGGCTAATTAAATGGAACGATGGCTATTCATAGAATAGAACAGACAGAAATAAAATGCTGTTGTGATGAATAATTCAGTTGTAAACACTAATTACCCACATTAAATGAGGATGAGCGAGCAATTATTAAATTGCATGTGTTTCGTGTTTCGAAACGCTTATTTACGAGGTTTTCATAAAACAACATCAGCATCCTAATATTATAAATGCTAAAGTGAGATTGTTTGTTTGTTTGTAACGCTTTTACGCCTAAACCACTGAATGGATTTGGATGAATTTTGGTATGCATATAGTTTATGACCTGACTCCTAGTACAATTTTAACTTAGAAGTGATGTCAAGAACCTGCACTCCCAAACTTAGACGCGATTTATCTTAGATTTTTTTGGTTGATTGATAAAAGAAAAAAAAATGCTTGCATGGACCACAAATCTGAAGTGAAACTTCTTTTCTTAAATAAGATAATATTAGACGGTGCATAAGGCATAGGGTGTTTTTCTTGAGTGTGTATGCTGTTGGTCGCAGATGACCTTTACAGCGTCACCAGGTTTGGGTACGGTGTGATCTTAAGGGGACCTCAAGCCGAGAATTGGCGAGTGCCTCTAGAGGTATTCCAGTCGGATGGCATCTTCCCACGGGGGGAGAAGTCTCCTCTCCGTCTGGAGTTTAGAGGCTCCCTCCCCTCAGGTTTGAGTAGTCTAGAGATTACTCCAACCTGAGGGAGTCAGATACTTCTTAACTTCTCAGCTTCTGAGCTTAAGTTATAGCTATTAACGGGATTGTTACCATGTATCTTGTTTTTTATGAGTCTCCAATATTCCGGCACTGTTGCAAGCGCTATGATCATGGAATAACTGAAGTAATTGCCGGTAGATGTTATTGGCAGACATATCGGTCTACCCTCTTACGTCGTCTTTTACTGCGCTCGATACCCCCTACCACTGATCACATTATGACTATTTACTTGCACCTGTTCCCGACACACAATATTCAGTATCAGATCGCGGAACAACACTTTTTTGATTTTTGCACATACGAACCACTGGATTCTAGACACTTGACAATTTAAACCCATCCTCATGATTGAAATTTTTGTGTTTGGTTATTTAAATCGCTTCCCTGACAAATCTTGGTAAGTAGTGGCGTTATGTAGAGATAATTTGTGGATTATGGAGATTTTTGCATTTGCAAAAATTTGCTATCGCGTAACATTTAATTGATTCGGGTCCTAATCACTGGATTGTGCTCGATAATCTACAAATTATCTCGACTCCGTGATCATGGCGCTTGCAACAGTGCCGTAATATCAGAGACTCATAAAAAGCAAGGTACATGGTTACAATCCCGTTTATAGCTATATTGTTAGTGACCATGAAAGTTTAAAACAATATATTTGATCCTTATTTTTGTAAAGTGACATTAAAGCGATTTTGCTTTTCCACTGTCCACAATATGGTAAAAGGTATCACGTTATACATTTAGGACAATTGTTTTATTTTTATATATTTTATTTACTATTTTATTTATTTATTTAATAGGTTTACCAGAAATTGTTACAATAATACATTGTCAATCTTACAGCGATAGTACTATAGCTAAAAAGGACAAATTATTAAAGGTAAACACCACATGCAAAGTTAATAATTACCAGTAACATTAAAAGAAGAAAGATAAAATATAAGACTTACCTCCCATGGTTTAAACATAAGTAATAACATGGCACTTTGACGTTGAAAGAGATAACTCCTGAAATCTAAAAGAGACGCCTTCTTCTTTATTATTAGGTCTCTTAGATGTTGCGGTACCAACGCTGTTAGTCTCACTGCCTGCCATGACGTTACTGGCTGTCTGAATGTGTCCAGCCATTTCGGACTCTCCGTTACATTTGAATTGAGTACAAATTGAGAGAAAAGGGCATCTAACTCATCATACTGGACCAATGCTTCTTCATACAAACCTAGCATTTCTAATACAAATGCTAGTTGTTCCTGTAATAAAATGATTGAGAAGCAATGTAATCATTTAAGAATTGACAGATAAAATGATTTTTTAAACTTCATAATAATTATTATTGTTGTATTTGAAGTCCAGTTTTACTGACAGTTAACTGAAAGAATTTTTACAATAGAATTAATAATCTTTTCTTATTGATTTTTATAAAGAACAAAATTTTGAAAAAATAATTAAGTAGATTTAAACATCTAGCAGTTAAATGCTTAAAAAAAATAAAAACATAATAATAATAATTAAGTATTTTATTAATTACCTGTAATATAAAGTATTTACAAAAATCCCACTCTGGATCATTTCGCTTCTCCCTCTGTTCTCTCATATGTTCTTCAAATTTTATAAGCGCTTTGTTATAAGCAACAAGTACAAAGTGCCTGATTTTTGCAACCAATGCCCGCCATGACTCTGCACTTCGGGCTTCAGACTTGATCGGATTAATAACAGATAAAAATCGGTCTTCAGTTTGTTTCATAGCAAATTCACCTTTTATTTTGTCTAAAACTGTAGTCCTTGGAAGTAGCTTATTTGTCTTTCGAATATCATATGTTTCAACTAAAACCACCATCCAATCCGTAATTCCATTTTTTTCTAATTGTTTGAACCATGATTCTACATCTTCCCTCAGTGTTGTTTTATAATATTCCACATCCTTTATAAATAGAAAACATCACAATATAAAATTTTAATACTAGATAAAATGACAATGACAATTGTTTACAAATGGGCAAATGACAATTGTTTACAATTACACTTTTTGGGCATTTAAATAAAAAAAGCTTGGAATTATCTGCTTATGGTAACTGTGCACTAGGAGGCCTAATAAATAATGTTAGTAAACAGACTAAAATCAAAATTATATTTGGACTATGTAGTTTTTCATAGTTTATCAACTGCTTTCCATAATTTAAATTATATATTCAAATAAATTATTTTGTGTTATACTACCCCAAATTTACTAACAAATGTAATTGTTTTGGGCCATATATAAATAGTTAACAACATGTGACTTGTAATTGTATTTTTATGCCTAATTTATTTAGTTAAAAAATTTTTAGAACAATTACTGCTAAATACGTACAGCACAGTCTGTCCAATATATATGAAATATGGGGCGTTTTAATAGGTTCAGTTCTGCCTGAACTTTGTCTTTATTATATTTCACAAATGATGCTTCCAGGTAAACTGACTTTGGTGGTCTTCCATAGGACCGCCTCCACTCACAAGAATCTTGCGGTATGGCTGCTACAAGAGGTGCTTCCAATGTACAAAATAAATTCCAGTCTCCCGCACCTATCAGTAGAAAAAATATTCAATTAGTTTAATCATAAACAATACATGGACATCAAGCTCCATTATTAAATACTAAGGTCCTTGTACTAACATGTTATTAAAGGTTTATGTGTCATTCCTTCTCGATCAGTTGGTGATTTATCGACACCCTTCATTTTTCATCATCAGCAAAGTTAGACAATTTTGTAGGCATGACACAAATATTGAACACCCATCCACTTATTGAAACTTTGAAATTATCATAGACTTGCAGTATATTTTATTTGTGTCAAAATATTCTAAATAGCAGCAGCGTTACGTATTACGTAAATAAAGCTATTTATAATACACGGCACGAAGTAAAATATTAGAAATTAAAAAGTATCCGATTTTGTAGTGATTTTGTCAGAATCTAGTGATTGTCGATTGACATGATTGATTTGACTTTACTGATTGACACTGACAGTGACAGCCACGCAACTCAAAAGATATGTCAATGTATATGCGTTTCGCCCATTTTTTTTACATTTGCTTTGAACCAAGGAACATTTATAGTCAAGAGATTTGTTATGAAGCAGTTAGGTTCGAAACGCATTTATCACAGATTACAAGTATAATGCTGGTACGTCACTTCAGTCACTTGGGTATTCGTATATGCTATTTATAAACTTATCAACAGTCTTTCCTTATCGTACTTTTTAAGGAATGAAAAGGACAAGCTCATGTAAAGGTTACAAAAAGTAAACACAAATACCCAAGTGAAGTGCCAGCATAACATTGTATATGTGAAATCACAGTGATGTCGATTCTGGCATGATTCTCTAAAGCTTAACTTAATTTGACAACAGTGCATCCTTGTCCTTCTCTATACAGAATGAAAGGGTGAGACTGACCTTAAATTTAGTTTTAAGTTTAGAGAATCAAGCCAGAATTGACACAGTGTGGAAATCCTTGGTCATTGGATAAAGGCGCCCCTTCACGTTATTCCGCCGCTAAGGATTATGAATGTTGTCTCAGCCTGCATGGCGTCCGACAATACCAGCAGGATACGTCTTCGGCGGACTGCAATGCAGAGTCGTGAATGGGTCCCTTAAACTGGCATCAAAATAATAACCTTATTTACCGGTTTATACGACACTAATACAATTTTTTGGCAAGGCAACTGTTTTTTCAAGTTTATCTTGTCTACGCCTGGTCAAAATGTCGCTTTTCTGTTTTGGTTTATTCGTGCAATAAAGGAAAATAAAAACTCACGTTATCCATGGTTTTAATAACTGATTCCTTTAAATATTGTTGTATCAAAAGCTTTGATTGAATAAGCTACAAACGAGCGGTAAGATATTTGTCTACATTATTTTTTGAAGCAGTTCTCTTCGGGAAATTATTTGAATTTTATAATATAATGCAGTTCTTCATAATTTATTGTATCTAGATGAAATTGGTTTGCATTAATCCTTTCTTAGTCATTGTAATGTTGTAGTTGGTGCTCATTTAGAGAATTGTGAAAATTCCTTACTGGCATGACAAATCCACCATGCAAACCCATCAGACAGGGTTGTAGTAGGCTTTGGAATCATTGAATCTCATCAGTGAGTGATATAAGTGTAGTCGTTTTGCTAATATTGTTTCAGTCATGAATACTGCTGCACCAACATCAGCTGATGCTTGCTTGAGCATTGTGCATTCACTGATGTGCCACCGCCAAGGTGGTGAGAGCGAAGGATTCTCAAAACGTGCCATAGAGTCGCTAGTAAAGAAGCTAAAAGAGAAAAGAGATGAGCTGGACTCTCTGATAACTGCAATCACTACAAATGGAGCACACCCCAGTAAATGTGTTACTATACAAAGAACATTGGATGGCAGGCTACAGGTCTGTAGTACATATTGTTTGTTATTACCAATAATATTAAATACCCTAGATACAACAACACAAACGAAATTGTGGCTGAAACTTTACGACTTCTTGCTGTATGGGGAAGGATATAGACCTTATTTATTTTACTTCTCACGCAATTTTAAATGCGTTGTTAGCAATATAGCAGGTACGGACTGCGAGGAAAAGAGACGGCTATATGGCAACATATAACTGACCATGCATTTGAATATCACAAATATTTTATATTTAATCAGTTTATAGTAAGTATTAGAACAAAATTTGCTTCAAATGCGTTAAATTAATAAACAATGATTAGATACCTGTTGAAGAAAAAACGATACGTACTTTATGTTCTTGTTTTGCATTATATCATTTAGCTCTGCGGAATCTTGACTTCCACGTTCTGAGCATGACTGTGAATCGAGAAGTGCTTGAGTGTAGTTCAAGCACTTCTTGATTGGGACACATTTTGAGCGCTTGTGGTGTATCTAGGATATTTAATATTGTTGGTTATTACCCTAATTATATTTGGCACTAACATGACAACATATATCTTTATATATATAATTCTTCTGTGAGTGTGTATGTCACTGAACTTCTCTTAAACGACTGGACCGATTTTGATGAAATTTTTTGTGTGTGTTCAAGGGGATCTGAGAATGGTTTAGATTCACAATTTTGTCCGCTGGACAATGTTTTTTTAATTAAATTTTTTTATGGCGGTACGAAGTTCGCTGGGTCAGCTAGTATATATATATATCTTGAATCACTTTCTTGCAGTTATTATAAGTGTAAAAGTTTATATAAAATTTTCTTTTTTTATTTTCTACTGTGTTACCAATGATATTAGACAATAGTTGTTTTACAGAGGGTTTTACGTATTTCTCTTAAATCATATAAAATAGTACACTTAAATTCACTCAAATTCACCATCATCTGCTCTTACTTCTAATGCAGGCATGTATACTGAGCTTTACAAGTACTTTTAAATACTTTAAAATATAATATGTATTATTCATGTAATGATTAATGGAGTAAAAAATTAATATTTAATATAAATGTTTAATTTGCAGGTCGCTGGCCGTAAAGGGTTCCCACACGTTATATATGCACGTATATGGCGCTGGCCTGACCTTCATAAAAATGAACTCAAACATGTGAAATTCTGCCAGTTTGCCTTTGACCTAAAATGTGATTCTGTCTGTGTGAACCCTTACCATTATGAGAGGGTTGTGTCCCCTGGCATAGGTAAATATAAACATCTTGATCTATTGAAACCTGACTTGTGTTTGGTTTCTAAGGAGTCTTACCCGATGTTTACATCAAGAAATAAATCATATATTAGTTTTACACAAAACCTTTAGAATACTTGTTTACAGTTTAAAACATTTTTTTTATTCTGCATAGACTATTTGTATCTTTACAAGTATAAATTACTTATTTACTTCACATATTTTGTTTATCCAACAAGTTTGATGCAAGTATTGTATACTACATGTTTTATACTGTATATATGTGTGAACAAAAAATTAAGACTGTATAAAATTTATTAAATAATGTTTAATATCTTGTTGTAAATGTGGGGTTTGGTAAAACTTCTTTTTTTTTGTTTTATTTCTTTAATATAGTTGTCTTTCAGAACAGTTTAATAAAAATTATAAAGTTGAATAAGAAAATTTCCCTACTCAAAGGAAAAACTGAGTATAGCAAAGCATTATTCTGAATCTGACTTAGGAACACACCATTTGCTAGAGTCTCAATTTGAAAACCAAGGCAATATTGACAGAATAATTACATTTGGTACTCAGAAATGGTATGCATTGCTGAGTACCTTTCATTTAGTTTACTACACTCAAGAGCAACAAATATGCTGTTACAGCAGAGAAATCTAAGCATTTAGCACTGATGTGATTTGATTGATTGTAAAAACAGTGTAATGTTAAATTCTCCTCCACAGCCCTCTTCTAGCTCACTCAGAGCACCGGGGGAACAATAAAAGAAAACCAAAAAATTAAGATAATGTTATAAGTATATTTTATCCACTTTAGATACCAAAGCATAGGAATTCAGTAGTTTTAAGTTATTGCTTATATAAATCAACAAGTCTAACTATGTTTATTATTTATATAATAACTATGTTTCACTAATTATAAATATCTAAGCTGAATACAGTAGTTCAAAGTTAATGTGTATATAAACCAACAAGTTGTCATGAAAGGTTATAATTATATGAATATCAGACATTCATAACACTTTACCATTTACTTACAATATAATACTTACTAATATATTTTATCCACAAATACCACATAGACTAGACTGAATAAGCTATTTAGTGGATTTCAGAGGTTCTACGGCTCGTTTGATCGATATTGGTGACAAACTTAGTTAATTCTAGTTCTCAGTGAGATAACCAGTTATATAGATATATGTATATATATGGAAATGGGTAAGTCGGGGTCCAACCTCGCCTGGTGGTTCCTCTCTACGTTCACCCGGGGTTAGTAGAGAAATACCTTGATTATGATAGGTTTAGCTGTGTATAATCTGTCTGCTGTTACGGCCGGGTTACATAAAACCGGAGAGCGGCTGGCAAATAAACTCCCGCGTCCCTTCTGGTCCGTGTACAGAAAAAAGTCTCCTTGTTAGTCCTCCAGTATCTCTTGAGGGGAACGTACAAGCCTGAAGTTCACATTGAAAAAAAATTATCAGATATGGGGAAAATACATAGATTACCACATCTGTAGTGGGTGAGTGAGTGAGGGATATTCACGGTCAATGTTTGCCATGAAAGACTATTCAAAATTCAACAACTGTCAAACTCCATCCATTCATCCACGCGCCCCCACAGAGATTCACTGCCTGATTACTTTTTTTTTTTTTTTTTTTATAAGTCAAGGCGAATATTTTAGTCGAATAGGAAAATCGACTCTTCCCTCAAGGCTACCAACCCAATCAATGAAGTTTGACAGCTACGCTGACGTAAGCGGTTCGCTATCATAGACAAAACAGCTGTCCTACGTGTGTCAGTGTCACGCTCTGTTTAAAAACAAACACTACAACAGTGACAATTTAAACTCAAGAATAAATGATAAATTCGTAATTTTTGGTCTGTGAAAATGTCGTTAAAACTCTTGCAACACAATTAAGAATGCTATTAAAAAAATGTTTCAAATCATATTATTGTGTTAAATATTTAAAAAAAATACTGTGTAATTAATACAAACATTGACAATTTATTGAATGCAGGAATAGTAGCTTATTTGGGATTTCTTAGCTATTTGGTTTATTATAACAAATACTTGGATATTAACTATAAACACTACTGAAGTCTCTATGGAAGTGTATTGGAAGAAGTTGGAGAAGCGCAGGCTATGAGATTTGATTGTAGAATATGATTTAAAGTTGCTTATTTATTTTGAAGTAGATTTTTTTTCTTTTCTCCTTTTTACTAAGGTTTCAAATGTTACACCATCATAATGCAACTACTGTATGGCTCCCTTGTTTTTTAAATATAATTATTATCAGCCTAGCAAAACTAACAGTGCAATGGATGATTCCACTTATTCATCTTATGGGATGATGATTTGATGCAATATAATTGATAAAATATTCCAGATCTTTCAGGCCTGACGCTGCAGTCCGGTCCGAGCAGGCTCGTTAAAGATGAGTACACTGCTGGCATAAGTGGGAATGGCATGGACATGGACACCGGCGAGCTGGTGACCATACAACACCATGCTACCAGTCCACGACATCACCATTCGTCCATCCCACTTCATCATCAACAGTTCCAAACAACAAATATAATCATCAATCAAGGACAAAGTGAGCTGATATTGTAATGTTATTTTTATCATCTATTTTTTTTTGATTGAAATTTAATTGAGTGCATACTTATTTGAAAAGGAGTTAATTACAAATAAACGTTAATTTAATAAAAAATACAAAGAGGTTATTAAATTACAGTTGTGGGATGACAAAAATCTAACTGTACTTATTGATTAGTTTCAATTCAATTTTAATTATTTTGTTATATGATTCAATTCTTTCTAATATCTTTATGATGATATTACTATGTATTAATATTTTAATTAACAAATAAATCAAAACAAATTCAATTTGTTGTGAGTGAAATTTCTTGTCAACCCACATCAACTGTTGTTTCTATGCTTAGGCTGATTTAGATTTTGCAGTCAAATATAACATTATTTTTTACTAAAGATCATAAAATGTGCATGCTTACAGTCTCTATTAGAAGTTTATCAGTTGACTTCGTGTTTGTGTTGGTCTCATCGCACATGAGGCTAGTATATTTATTTGCGATGCATGATAAATTTATTTTGCGTTTTATTTTTGGTATAGCGCCAGAGGGCGTACCGAATATGTTCTCCCCGACGCACGGGCCTCGTCCACAAATAAGACCCGGTGCTCAGCTACCACCACAGATGGGACATTCTCCAGGGCCCCAGCAAATGATCTCAGCCCACCCTAACAGCCAAATGCCAACACCGCAGATGGTCCAAGGCAATATGTCGGGGACGGCCCAAATGGGGCAGGGGACGCCGCAAATGGGCCCGAATCAGCCCCAACTGAGGCCGCCTACGCCTCAAATGGGTACGAACGTGCCCCAAATGGCGTCGCCTAGGATGGCATCGGCTCCCACTCAGATGTCACCTGGGACTCCTCAGTTGCCTAATATGAATCAAGGCATGTCGATACCCAGCCCCCAACAGATGGCGTTGGCGCAACAAAGGGCCATAGCCCCCAAACTCGAGCCCCCGGATACTATGGACGCGAGGGCGATATGGCTGCCAAAAATAATGAACCATTGTAAGCTTGTTCTTTTTTTATTTATTTTTTTATTTTGCATCGTTTTTATTGCATGTGTGATTTTGTACCGTTTGTGGAGGCTAACAAAATTACTAAACTTTTTGCACGAAAAAATATTTACTAAATCTGAAAAACATACAAATGATTATGTTTTATCTTTGTTACATTCCAAATTAAGTCGCAGAGACAAATGATAGAAGTGGCATTTGATTTTTTTTTCTAAAATTGAGTTGTATTATTTTTTCATTATTACATTTTATTTTTATTATTTAAGAAGAGTTAACAATTATTTTGTAATTTCAATAGTGTTTTCATGGAGTGATTTTGCGTTCTTACATTTTTCTAACTTAGTAATAATAAAGAGATTATTGCACAAAAAATCTTGTTGTCAACTTTATTATTTTCAATGACGGATTTTTTAATATAGGATGCACCGAAGATATGTTTTTTTTTCCTCTTTTTTATAATTTTTTTAATATTAGTGTACAAACAAAATCTAAACCTATTTTGCTTGTGCCACTCACGGCAAAAAACGCGCAGTGCGCGGCACTCTTAGATGGGATATGCCGCTTTTCACCGCTGCGGCCAATCACCGCAAAGCACGCCTGGCCTAAGATGCGAAACCTGCTAATTAAATCATTTTTATTAATCAGTGTCATTGTGATGCATGTCGTTCGGCTTCTAATCTGAACGGTCGAATGTGCTCACAGTGCCTTGCTATTTATTGTTCAGTTTATATTTTTTTAATATTTTTACCCAACTGCGCAATGCAAGAGCGTGGAGCGCGACGCGCAGACAGGGTATAGTGTTTAACAGTCTATATATGTATGTATGTTTCTTTGTGGCACACTAGAGACCAAACGCGTGGACCGACTTTGATGATTCATACGTCAATCGATTCGTCTTAATCATGGGAGTGCTACTAAAGATGATAGTAATCGAAATTCAATATGGGGACAATTAGGCGCCATATTGTGAGAAGGAAAAAAAATCAAGTTGACAAAATATATCGAGTGGGGTATCATTGTCTAGATAAACGAAAATCATGTTTAGGTTCCTTAAACCATTTTTCATTTTATGTGACTGTTTAGGATCTAAAAAGATTTAAAGTTGTATTTACCATTTGCGTTTTCAATTTAAATCTTACGTTTATATAGATCTTTGTTACTCTTTCACCCAAAAAATACCGAATGGATTTTAATGAAACTTATCAATAATATAGCTCATACATAATAATAACATAAAGATAATAATTTATGTAGCTATTGAGTGAATTGGCCAAAATTTGACAATAATTGTCACGTAAGACGGAAAAAGTCTCCCATCTTCGAGACATTTTGGCCTGCACTGCAAAAATAATAAAAGTAACATGAATATAATGTATAGTCGAAATGTATCTCATAAATAGTTCTACAATAAAGCCTACGGCAGCATATATCTATTTGTAATGTGTAAGCTATTCCCGCTAAAATAGTGTACCAAAAATAAAATATTATTTGATATCTATTTCCAAAATGCACATTTTGTGGCAACATTTGTTTTTAATTAAAATTAAAATTTGATATTGTTACGTGTCGGGATGGGGTTCGAAATTATATGCCAGTTCACGCTTGACAGTTCTTTATTCACCACACAGTTCACACATTGTGACAATATTTAAAAATGATAAACTTTGCCTTTTACACTATGTCATTTTGACAAATATTTAAAAAGTTAAAACGATGACGAAGTGATAGCGCGGTGTACTATGCAGCCCCTCTAGCATGATCACCAAAACGGGATATGATAAAGCGATATATCGACATTAACTGTCAGACTACTGTCAAACTCCATAGTAGTCTGACAGTTAATGTCCATATATCGCTTTATCATATCCCTTTTCGGTGGTCATGCTAGAGGGGCAGGAGTAGACCGCGGAAATGGTGGGAAATGAGTTATGATGAATTTTAGTGTTTATAAACGTAGATAAAACCTAGGATGCAAAGAAAAGACTGGGCTACTCGCAGTATCTAATCCTATACGAAGTACTTACTTAAAACTAAGGTTCATCCATTTATAGGGCAATTCATCATAATCGATTTAGCTATTAGGACGCGAAAGCGTAACAAACAAATTCACTTTGGCATCTATACTATTATATTATACTAGTGATCCTCCCCGGCATTGCAAACATTATTTTAATGCGATAAAATATAGCGATTAGTGTTTTGAAAGTAAAATTCATGTATTGCAATCACAAAGAATTGCAATACAGACTACAAGTCAAACTCTAAAAAGAAAGAATTCCGGTTCAGATTACCATTTTGAAAGTATATTTCAAAAGGAAAAAATCAAATATCATTACAACAAAATAGAATTTCAATGTATCCATAAACGTTTATTCCTTGATTGGCATAGTAAAGTTAAGTTACGCGTATCGTAATGTACTAATTCTACATGAGTGAAGTTGGTCAATTCATTTACACACCGTGCAGAAATAGGCAACTTAGGCCACGGAAAAGCGTGCGTAAAGTGCGGGTTTAGGTCACACTGTGCTATAAAAGATTTAAAAATAACCTAAGTAATAGGTACATTTCATAATATTTGTATAAGTTACTTAGCATTATTGGTAAACAGTGATTCGTTATTCGCTAATTTATACATATTCTCATTTTGTTTATAGGTTAGAAAAAAATATTTGGATAATATTTGCTATGATTGCACCATTTGCAATAACTACTAGTGGAAGTACTGTTTATTCCAGCTTCACACTACCAATAAAAAAGGGTAGACCAGAAAGCCTTTGAAAGATGAACACTTTAAAAGAGAACGACAAAGATGTAAATCATTACATTGGTAGATAAATTGATAATAAATGAGATTGCTATGGTGCTGTACCTAACGCTATGGAAATTTTATTCTACGCCTTTAGTTATTAAAATATTATAAACTTTGCTTTGGTGATTTATAATTGTTTAATTTAGCGATATAAAGCAGTTGAATAAGAAACAAAGCTACTTTATTAGTCGGGACCCATCATTTAAAAAAAATGCTCCATTCTTCAATATTTAATGGATCTCGATTGTTGTGCGGAATAGTTTTGTTTCTTACTTAACAGAATTATAGACGACTGGACTTGTTTTCTTCTTTTCAGTTTTTATTGAAGTAATATGGAAGCAGTCGGATTTTTAGATTTTTTAAATTAACTTTTTTTTAATAATAGTGAATATAGACAAAATACGTGTCCATGATTTCGATAAAAAAGTGTCGTGATCTCTTCTCTCAATGGTACGAAGGTATTGTGCCTCCTTCCTTATTCTTTTCGAACCAGTTTAAGTATCATCTCCATATAGTTCGAGCTTCACATAGTTTTGCTACTATAGAGAGTACGTACCTATATTTGCACTTCATAATTATAAAATTGTGTTATATTTTTAGACTTTTAACAAACAAATAATTGGTTACTAAAATGTTTTTTTAGCTTTAATCCTTTTTGCAACTCCTGGGTCTAAGAAATCCTCTGTAGTAATTATATTATTAGGATTGTTCCCGATTTGAGATCTTAATAAAGTTCTTTCTTTATAGTATAGTTATGATAGTTCTAGTAGTACAGACATCCTCAGGTCGTGCCTAGACCGGCTCCCCAAGGAGGCACTAATGTTGGTTGGTAATATGGCCAATGTTTGGATGGAAAATCCAATCTCAATGATAATCTCTCGATCCATTCGTTGGCAAGCTGTATTGGGACCAACATTGGCACTAACTTGTGGAGTCAGGATTATTACGGTGACTGTATAGCACCTCTGGGGGCTACCGCCTATCGGGATTGCTCTGGCTATAGCTTATGATTTCATTTGTTATTTCTGACCAACGAAGGTTTTTAAATATCGCGCGTTCATTTTATTTAATAATGTTATTTATTGCCAATGCAAAAAGAGCACGAGGCATATGAAAACCTTCGGCGGTCAGAAATAAAAATAATAACTCATAAGCTATAGCTATGGCCATAGCAATCTCGTTAGGCGATATGCCCCCTAGTTCAAAAAGGAACATTTGATTTTGTTTCTTTATAATTTAACTGATTTTTCAGCGGCCCTCCCGGTCACAATGTCACCAGGTGGCACCACGCCACTGATAGACGGATCGACCACGACATTCTTCACCACAGAACAGACCACAGCCGATACTCAACTGACGCAGACACTGCCCGGTAAGTTTATTGGTTACTAGCGGCCGCCCGCGACTTCGTACGTGTGGAGTTACTTAGAAATATAGGTTCACTTCACATTCCCCGTAGGTGATAGCGATATAATATGTAGCCTATATGTTGACCCGTTTTATAATATTCGTGCCAAATTTGAAGTAAACAGACAAACAGACAAAAACATCTAAAAACTATCTTTTTGGCTTCGGTATCGAATGTAGATAACACCCCTATTATTCTTTAAAAAAATATTCAATGTACAGTTTTAACTTTCCTACCATTTTATTATATGTATAAATTCAAAACTAGTGGCTTCATCTGCGTTGAAATATTGGTTTTAAATACAAACTTCCTTTTCTATCTTTCCTGTAATCCGAAACGCCACTGTTGATTCTATGTACATTAAAACAATTCAAATAGTTTTTTTTTTCTAATTAGCCGGATTACTTCTTATTCAATAAGAATCCGGACTATAGAGACTGATCTTCGGTAGGACTTTATTATTATTAAATCTAATTTAGTATTGAATTTTACAATGTATGGAATTGTCATAAGATCCATTTTGCTCCCAAGAAAATGCTTTGCTCTACTTTGCTCTTAGTGTGCGCTGACGTTAATCTGACAAATTCGATAATCCCACATCGCCCTGCAAAACTTTTTTAGAATACCGCGGGTCTAATAGTATTTCAATGACTATCTTTATCACAAGCGGGTACGGTAGCAGCATCGGCAACGTCCCAACAGAACGGTTTCGCCACGACCGGCAGTCAAAAATATCCGCACTTCCAAAGTTACTTTTAAAAAGCTGATAATAATATACTTTTTAGAAATCCAAAAATTAGACATCCCCAAGTTTTGTGTGTGGCAGGACAGGTAGCCACGTTTGCCAAACAATTTCCGGGTATTACTTCTGTATATGCTTTAAATAATTTATGTGTAATTATAGTTATTATATATAATATCATAATGTATGATATCATCTAATCTTTATCTCGCCAACAATCACTTCAGTATTTGACTCTATAATGTAGTTAATCTGTGCTTGTCTCCTATGCATTTTCATGGCTATTTTCTCTTTTCTCCTTGCAAAATCTTTTAAATGTTTATTAATAAAGCTTATCTACTCACTCAAAAAGGTGATGGCTTAAAACCGGTGTTTTGCCTTAAAACTGGCAAATGTTTAGCCGAACCTTGGCCTTTTGCTTTCCGCAGCACACATATGGGTTTTTATTGCTATTTCATGTATCTTTTTTATTTTTTTATTGTATTACTCTGAAATGTATATGTATGCTGAAGAAAAAAATAAACGCATTATCTATCATCTACCTATCTATCACTTTAAAGGTGGTTTTCGGCTGTAGTCTATAATTCGACAAATTCGATAATCCGATATTGCCCTGCAAAACGCTTGTAGAATATCGCGGATCTATGAGGACCTTGATAGCGCAGGTATAATTAGCGCGTTCGGTTGCGACCGTTAAATTTAAGCAACTTCTCGCGGTGGTCGGTCATTGGATGTGTGGTTAAACGTTTACTATTTCGAACTCCTCCGTGCTTCGGATGGCACGATAAGCCGCTGGTCTCGGCTACCAACCAATCCTCACTGGGTGACCGAAACCTCTCAACAGATCTTTTTCGGCACTTACTCACTAAAAGAAATCCGGTCTTCTATAGACCGGATTTTTTGAGGTGGTTTTCGGAAGTTCTCTATAATCCGAAAAATTCGATAGTCCGACATTTACGTTTGTAGAATATTGCGGATCTAATCTATTTCAATGACTATGCTTATCACCAGCGAGTACCGTAGCAGTATCGCGGTGATCTTCGGCAGTAGTCTATAATCCGAAATATTCGATAATCCGACATCTACGTTTGAATACTGTGGATCTAATGCATTTCAATGATTATCTTTATCACCAGCGGGTACGGTGGCAGTATCGCCAGTGGCCGTAGAAACGTCCCAACAGAACGGTTTCGCGACGGCCGGCAGCCCGGCGCCGCAGCCGAGCCCGCTGCCGCATCGCACGCCGCAGCAGCCATCGCAACAACAACAACAACAACAGCAACAGCAGCAGCAAGGTGAGTTGCATTTTTGCATGACACTTGTAGGAAAACTTAATTTAGTAGCGTATATTTTGTTACTTTAGAGGCTTTTTATATGGAAAGAATTTATATTGAAGGAGCCAGTTTGCTCTTACGTCAGGTAAGGACGCTGCTTAGTTTTCAAATAAAATTTGACGATGCGTTACAATTACGGAGCTGTCAAAATTCGTGATTGGGTCTCTGATGATTTTAATGTGTTTTATATTAAAGATTTGTTACTTTTCGAAGGACAATTGGATGCTGAATAAATCATTAAAAACATAATGGTGGCTTAAGGTTTCGTTTTTTCATAGCTCTTGTAGATTAATTTTCTAAGTAATATCAATTACGTTAAATGTGAATATCTAAAGATTATACGGTTTTTGATCTTATGATTCTGTCGCTATTAGAAGAATGCAGAATTCTCAATACATTAATAAAAAATAGTAGCATGTGTGAAGTCCAAAATTGTTTTTTTTACACTCAACGTTATTTAGTTATGAAGAACATTGGGTATGTGAAACTCTACAATAAGTATAACGAACCGTACAACAGTAATAGTTTGAAAATAAATTATTTTCCTTTCGACCCAAAAACCCCTTACCACTTGCAATTCATAACACAACTTAGATCCATCGAAAAAGCTCAGGAGGCCAGTGGTAAATAGTTCACCATATTCATAAACAAAGAAAGCGTTTTCTCCCCGGCCCAAAAATGAAATGAAATGAAATGAAAATGAAATGAAATGAAAAATTATTTATTGGCCATCATAAACATAGTAATATGACAAAAATAAAACTTAATCTATAGACGGCCAACCAGGTCAGGTCAAAATCAATTACCGCTTTATTTATTTAATTTATACCATTAAATTGTGCCTCAGATTTGATCCATCGTATGTAAGTAACTACACAAAGTTGAATTAAATAAGCTAAACTTTACCCACATCTTTGATTTATCGTATCGAAAGTACCCTAAAACCTGGTCTTCGGCAGTACTCTATCCGACGAATTCAATAATCCGACATTGCCCTGCAAAACGCTAGTAGAATACCGCGGGTCTACTGTATTTCTATGAGGAACTCGATGACGCAAGCGGTAAGTAAGCGCATTCGGTTGCGATCGTTGAGGTTGAGCATCTTTCGCAGCGGTTGGTCATTGGATGGGTGACCAAAAATTTACTATCTCGAGCTACTCTGTTCTTCGAAAGGCACGTTGGTCCCGGTTGCATCTGCAGCCTTTAGCACCCACCAATCCGCAATGGGCCCGCGTGGTGGGACCATTAATAAGCTGATGATGATGAAGTCATATTAAAAAAACGCGCGAGCCTTACAGTAGTCGCGTACAGTGGCGGATTTACAAATTTGCCGCTAATAGGCTATTAAATTTTTGCCGCCCCTACCACGGTAATATTATCTATACAGTATTGTGACTCCGCCCTGTTCTTGAAAATAAATGCCTACGGCCGAGCGCTGCGTTAGCACGCGGCAGGGCCGCCTGCCTACAGTATTTTATGTAGTTTTGTTTTTAACGCGAGTGTAGGTAGATTGCTCGTTTGTCATTTTTTTCATCCTAACCACTTATTTATATATTATTCCAGATATTTTGCCCGATGGAAAAATAACCTATATACTAGAAACAAATTACGTAATAGTAGATAGGTATATAAAAAATCTACTATAAAGGTAAGACACCTCTCCAATATTTTAGGTAATTTAAAAAATGATATCTCTGGGTGTGTAATTGAAGAGTTCAAGCAACCAAAAACAGCAATTGTGCTGTTGTACGATATTGATCGTCGTCTGTTCTTTTCCACACTAAATAATGTAGATATCTACTTAATTAAATCAAATATTTACAATACAAAACGCACGTTTAAGCACGGCTAACTGCATAAAAAACAATTCACACCGTTCGGTCGTCGTTGCGGCGCATTCGCGACTTCGCGGGTGCCCGCCGAGAGCCCATCGAACTCGAGTGGCGTAGGTATGACTCGCTTTCCGACCGTTTGTATGAAGATAGAATACTGTATGATATTATTACCGTGCCCCTACTGACCTTTGAAATTCAATACGCTAGTTCACAATTATATTTATTCTGAAATTGCAACTTTATGATTTATGTTCTATCGTCGACATTACGTACGGGCTTTTCCCCGTAAGTTTAAAAAATTACTAAATTTAAATTGTAATTAATATTGAAACGCTATTGGAATATTTTAAAACCTATATTTTACAGTGGGTTTAGTAATCTTTTATACAGGGTGTTACAAAAATACAAATAAAGCTTGAAGGGCGTCGAAGTTAATCATATAAGGAGTCTTCTTTATTTTTTTAAAAATATTTACATGAATTTTTAACTTTATATAAAACAGTTATTTTTAATGATCCTCGAACTAGTGAAGTGTCTTAAAATTATCGATATTTTTATTAATTATTAAAAATAACTGTATTTATAAAAAAGTTAAAACTTCATGCAAATATTTTAAGAAAATTAGAGAAGACTCCTTATATGATGTACTTCAACGCCTATCAAGCTTTATTTGTATTTTTGTAACACCCTGTATACGGATTACTAAAATATTAAAATTTTTGTCACTCGTTTTTCTGGTATATTTTGGGCCAAATTTGCCGCCCCCTAAAATCTGCCGCCCTAGGCTCCAGCCTACTGAGCCTACTGGTAAATCCGCCACTGGTCGCGTATGATGTGTATCATTTGAAACCTCACCTTATATTAGTAAAAAAAGAAATAAATCCTACTACAAAAGGAATAAGCCATTTGAACGTTATGTTCTAAAATCATCACAAATAGCGCGCGCTTTCGCGACTTCCTGTTACACACTTCCGTCCCACTTCACGTAATCTCTCTCACAAATTGCACGAAAGCGAGAGGAAAGATGTTACACATCAAAAAGGCCCATGAACGAGCAGTGATAAATGTGTTGTTGTAGGTACTTGGACTGGTAACAACACGTTGACGTATACGCAAAGCCTGGCGCCGCCCCCCGCAGCGCCTGTGCCCATAGATGCGCCCGCGCATCACCATCATTACTGTGAGTTGGTTCTTAGTTTAAAGCGAGTTGCAAACCGAAAACTATGCTATTCCGAAGCTGAGCTAAGGAGAACCGTACATAATCAATCTTGATCGTTAAGCTCGGATCACAGGATCACATCAAAACATCGCACAGTCAATCTTGATTTCTTCAGTCCTTGTATCATAACAGCCGTGTACAGACGTGTTGGCATCATAGAGGTATAAGAATAGAGTGGGTAAGGCGACTCTAAAAGTGTCCGTCTAGTAGACAGAGAAAGAAGATGAGAGACCGCTAGCTATCTCTCTCTCTTGTGAGGCATGGCATCCAATGGCATCACATCGAAGTAGATGAATACGGTTGCCAATGCGCATGCGCGACTAGAGAGAGAAAGCTAGTGGTCTCTCATCTTCTTTCTCTTTCTATTAGAAGGACACTTCCACTTGTAGTAGTCTATATCTCCCCTACTCTATTCTTATACCTCTATGGTTGGCATGGATTTACATAAAGTCTTAGCTGTAGCGTCCCTTGTTTTGGACTTAATTTTTAAGAAAAGAATTCGAAGATGCGAGTTAATTATTATATTGTTTTAAACTTCCATGGTATCTAACACTGTTGTATTTACGTTATTAACGGTATCTCCGATATTTCGACACTGTTGCAAGCCATGAACTACACCGTACCATTGCAAACGCCATAATAACGGAGTAGCTAATCCGTGATTATGGCATTTCGTGGCTTGCGCCTGTGCCGAAATATCAGGGACTCGTAACAACGTACCTGGTAGCAATCCCGTTAATAACATAAATTACTAGTTCTTATTTTTTAATTTTTTAAGGATGGTAATTTTCTGTCTAGATAATGGCAACCCCGGTGGTTTGCTGTCAAGTCAACCTGCGCCAGAGTACTGGTGTTCCGTCGCCTACTTCGAGTTGGACACTCAAGTTGGAGAAACGTTCAAGGTTCCTTCTAGTAGGCCCAACGTTACGGTAAATTCACTATATTTTTTTGTTAATTTAATATTTTTTGGTACCTACTTGTTTGATAAAATTGATTTTTTAGCTAGTAAAGAAGAAGATAATATATACTTACTGTGATTAATAAAATTGGAGCACATGTATAAGATATATTATGCTGTTTTTCGTCTTTATAAAGTCCTTTTTTATTTCAATGATGTCATATGATGATCGTAAGATACAGGTGGTAAAGGGGCTCTAACGGATCATTAATATGAGAGTCAAAGCTTTGAATAGACCTTATGTCTTCCCATCTGTGTTTGCATCTGTGTGTTTTTTAAATACATTTTCTCTCCGCCAATCTTAAGCGTTTTCGGTCACGTAACAATATATGAAAAAAAAAAATACTATTTCGTGATATTTGTCTAAAATTATATTTTCTGATCTGTAAAAATAGTAAAAATCGCTGCCAATATTCATTTTGAATACTGATGCCTACTATTGGTACTTTATTTTAAGTACTGTTAAATACCCTATTAAAAAAGTAATTGACTTTGAGTGAGGCTATTAAAGTCCAATGATGAAATGATGGAAAATCTTTCTAGGTGGATGGCTACGTGGACCCTTCAGGCGGCAACAGATTTTGTCTCGGAGCACTCAGCAACGTTCACAGAACAGAACAGAGCGAGAGAGCGAGGTAAATAAAATTGAACTGTATTTTTTTACTCCAACAAGTACTAACTTCAGACAAATCTATCGTTAGTGTTACCATTTAGTGTTACAAGTTTCAACTGTCTATAGCAAAAATTGAATTAAGTTGAGCAATCATAACGTATTATTGAAAAAAATTAAAAAAATAAATAAAACCGAATTCAAAATCGAAAATGGAACTAAAAAGTTAAAAAAATTATATCTGGTTCATGATTTGGAAGTTGGGCGGGTCAAGATTGAAAGACTTATTATTACCGATCAGAAACGAAACTCTATTTAAGGTTTCAATCTTGACCCCCGCCCGACTCCCAAATCATGAACCAGATATTATTTTTTACTTTTTAGTTCTATTATCGATTTTGAAGTTTTATTTATTTTTTATTTCAGCCGTTTTAGTGTAAATTACATCGTCCAAGTAAACGATAACACAATTGATGGAGAATTCGGCGAACATGTATAAAAAAACATCGTGCGTGCCTTTGAAATTTGAAGGTTTCCCTCGATTTCCCCGGATTCCACCATCAGATCCTGACTTGGTTCCTATGGGACCACCTCGGAGTGCATTCTTTCGAATAAAAAAAGAAACAGGAAATCGGACCACAATTGACGGAGAAATCGGTGAACATACATAAAAAAAAATATACAGTCGAACACAGAACCTCCTTTTTTGAAGTCGGTTAAAAACACACGAAAAAGATGGTTGATAAATCAGCTTAAAAACTGCGTGAAAACGTTTTGATCAATGTAACATTTATTTTTAGCTAGGGACCGTGAATATCAAACAGATCAGCACTTCAAATGCTAGATGGGCCGATAGATGTGTCCGGGAGTATATATTTCCGGACACATCTTTCTGCCCACTTACCTTATTAATAAAAGAAAGACTACCCTTGGATTAGTAACTCCATGTTTTGTCTCTGTCTATTGAATGACAAATGGCATTTGAGTGACATCAGTTTTAAAACTGCGTAGGTTATACTTTTTTGCTCAATGTAATGTTTATTTTTAGCTAGGGACCGTCAAAACTTAAAATGCTAGGTGGGCCGGTACAAGTGTCCGGAAGTGTATATTAATTCCTGTGTATTTTACTAGTGATCCGCGCACGTTTTGCTTCTGTGCTATTAGTCAAAAGCAAATATGGTGAAAACCGCATCAAAATCCGTTGCGTTTTCAAGGAGGAGTTAGCGAAAATCTAAACGCACGCGATGATGTTTAAATTAAAATTTTGAATTCGGGCGGCTATAATTCACACTACGTCTAAATATTGTTTACTTATAATATTACATTCTATTCTTTAAATTTTATCAGGGCAGCAAGCAGATAAAGGTTTCTTTCATTGAATTGGGCATTAATTTGGACATTTAAGACACGGTATAGACTAGGGCTTTCAAATACCGGATTTTTTCGATACCGGTATCAATACCGGTATTAGCATGTTCAATACCGTGATCACGGGATCACGGTATTGAATATGAACTTCAAATCAAAGAATATTAAAACGCCCATTTTATTTCTAATCAGTGTTTATTTCTGTTACATAGGTACCTACATGAAAAACAGGCTAACAAAATATTAAATATAAATTATTTTTTCTACCCTTCCCGGGTAGTCTTTTATTAATAAATAGTTCGGCGGAACTAAGAATTTGAGATCCACAATTTTTTTATTAAACAAAAGATAACTACATATTAAAATAAAGAAAAAATACAACAAAAATGCCGTCCCAATAATTAAAATTCGCTTGGCAATCAACATTAAAAAAAAATATAGGTAAATTACTTAACAATCATCTATTCATTTACTTTGTACCATTTATATATTTACTAATCAAACAATACTAAATAACAATATTCAAAAGAATCGAAAATAAAACGATAAACATAATCAATACCATCTTAAGATTTTGGCATTTTTTACAGCTGAAAGTGTGATCTTAAAAAGGACAGAGAGTTTAATGATTTATCAGATAGCGAACTTCTCAATTTGTTGCATAAATAACTGACCGAAGAAAAAGCTCGCTCAACTTCTACACTTGTAGGTACTACAGATAGTAAATATTTGTAAGCTGCAGATAAAAATATTTCTCGACCGTGCCCCCACTGGTTTCGAAGACACACACTATTATTATTATTGATTCAAAATCAGTGCCTGTAGTTGCAGTTGTACTTTTAGGTAATTTGGATATTTCCCTCTCCAACTGTTTCTGGATGGACGCATCGTCGTCATCTTCAACACTTGTTTAATTAAATAAATAATTAATTAATTTAACAATTTAACGATGACGATGAAGTAGAAGGTTCTTCTGTAGCGACACTATCAACCATCTCAGTAACTGCTGCTGTATTCAGTTGTTTATTTCGTATTTCAAACGAGTCAGTAAATAAACGATAATTTTAAGCAATTCATCAGATGTTAGTTTTTTTAAAATGTCACCTTCGCTATCATTATCACTAAAATAAGCTTCAGGGTCATGCAAGTATTGTAACACTCCAGATATAGAGAAACGTCGCTCTTTTATACGTTTTCGAAGTGCCTTTGCAAAGGTTTTGGCTCATCTCATTAGCCTGTCCATATAATTTTGCTAACATAAATTTTAAAGCAATATCAGTTTTTAATAAGTATTATATGGTGAAAACCATATGTGTAATTATACCGTTTTGTGCGCCAGCTCCTCAGTTTATCTCATTCGCGTTCATGCTTAACATTTCGTCTTTCTATTCATATAACCCTAATAAAGAATTATTGATTTGTAATACCGTAAAATCACGGTATTGACTGATCAATACCAATATTGAAAAATACCAATAAAAAAAACCGTGATTACGGTATTACGGGATCCCGGAATACCGGTATTGAAAGCCCGAGTATAGACAAACCGATAAGCGCGGACTGCATAGTTTGGTTGTTTCACTTTTTTTTTACCTATGTAGATGATTGGGTTCTTTTTTTTATATCCTGGCCTCTTAAAAACAATGAAAATGTTTTTGAAGTTATACTTCTTTAGGCGCGTTATGAAAAAATGATGAGAGTGAAATTTTTAGATGCGTGCGCATCACTGTAACCCAAAAGTAACAACATGAAGTTGGCCGCGGGCGCGTTATGAAAAAATCATGTGAGTGAAATTTCGAGATGCGCGCGCATCACTGTAACACAATAGTAACAACATCACTATAACACAATAGTAACACCATGAAGTTGGCCGCGGGCGCGTTATGAATGTTAGTGTCTAATAATGGTGGATTATTAACCACTTAGTGGTTAATAATCTGTTCGAAAGGTACTTCGAACGATCCACGGACCTCCATAAGATGATCGCGTTGTCAAAAACAATGTTGGCACGCTCGTCGCCTCTGTTCACTGTTTTCATATTTATAATATTTAGTTCTACTCCCGACTTCAATGTATCTCCGTATTTAACCAAAATGTTATTTAAAATATTTTATGTTCTCATGGTAAGTGAATTTTGTAATTTTTTAATTACGTCCCTGGCTGTCTGATGAGACATTCTATATGCCTCAATCTATTTTCTTGTCGAATCCACCGCTACAAAAAAAGTATACCCGTTAGAAGGCCCCCAAAAAGTCTATGTGCAGTCTACTCCAGGGCTCGGAGAGATCCCCCCCTTGTAGTTCTGTCCTGCAAAGAGGGGGGCGGCGGAGGGAGCTGCAAGGGCACGCCCAAGTAGCCCTCCGCAGCGGACGGGGGGCAGTACGGTGAGCACTAGGCCGCGTACTCAGCCCCCACGCGCGGGCATACCTGCGCACGTCTGCGGGGTCCCCGCGATACCCCGGGAGACCCCTGCCGTGGAGCCCCGGCTAGGCCGGGAGGCTGCTAGGTGCGAAGACGCTGAAGAATCCCTAAACGGGGATCCCGCGGCTTCGCGCTAAGCAGCTTAGAGGGTATCCGCAGGGTTTTTTAGAGTATATTATGCCGTAAAGCGCCCGTAAGAGTTACGAGGTCCTCAGTGGGTAGCCACTGCTGGGGCTTGTAAAGCTTGCGGGAGCCAGGTGTGAGGTCCGTTCGGCGGTGTGCTTCTAAAAGGCGCCGTCCTCTGTCAACAGTATTTTTTGCCTGCGTATAAAAAAAACGGGCTCGGAGAGATAAGGCCACGGGCTTGTGGACACGTGCGGCGGAGCAGGAGCCTCAAGCGCACACACTACACACTCTCGGCAAGTTCGCTCCATATCCGCGTCTATCCCGGGCCACCAAACGTAACTACGAGCTATGCTTTTCATCTTTACTATACCCATGTGTCCCGTGTGCTTTCAAATACAATTATGCAGCTCAGATGTTACCATCCGATATCCCCACATGATATATCCCGAGTCTAAATATAATTAATTTCGCCTAGAAAAATAAGGTTCTATGTCTGATGCTGGACATTTATCTGGCCACCCTGAACGTAAAAACATACTAATTCCCGTTAAAGTTTTATCATCTTTAACTTTTTTACAAGCTAAATCTTTTGATATTGGTAAAAAATCCTGAACAAAATTCACATATGTTATTACTTCGCTTTCTACACAACTATTTTCAACAGGTAGCCTAGGTAATGCATCCGCGCTCAATGGAGTATGTACCGATCTCTCGGTCGGAAGAGGAGCTCGATGGCGCAGGTGGTTAGCGCGTTCGGCTGCGATCGTTGAATTTAAAGAACTTTCACAGTGGTCGGTCATTGGATGGGTGACCAAAAATCTATCTCGGGTTCCTCTGTGCTTCGGAAGGCACGTTAAGCCGTTGGTCGCGGCTGCATCTGCAGTCGATAGCACCCACTAATCCGCACTGGGCCCGCGTGGTGGGTCATGGCCCAATCTCCCTGTTCCGTAAAACCGTATATTTATCCACATGTTTCTAGTTTCTATATAGACACAACGTGTTTTAGTTACTTACAAGTGCTAATTACATATGGACTAATAACTTAAATTCAGTAGTGATTTTAATTGAATATTTTGAATATTTATTTAATTTTTCAAATTAAAACTGAACTTAATTGACTGTGTTAACTATCATTTTCCAGTCCTTTTATTATTATTTTATTGTAATTATTAATTATTTGCATGCAATTAAAAAATATTTTAATGATGCTAAAGAAGTATAACTTCTCACGCGCGTACATAAGTTACACGCATCCATTTTTATTTTTTTATATTCTGATGGTTTTTAATCTGATTTTATTGGAATTTTATTAGATCGATCTTTTATTAAAAAACGAAGTAGCAAATTTTTTTGTCTATTTTACAAAATATATTGAATTTAAATTTGTAAAAAAAAAAGAAAATCAAGAATCATCTGATAAAGGTTTTCTTCTAAACAGTACCATTTAGTCATATTTTACAAAAAAATATCAATTAAAGTAAAAAAACATTAACAAATGAACATCCAACCATTTCGACTTCAACGCGTTTGATTTGTTCAGATTTAGTTCTTTCAGAAAGAAGACTAATTGAATATAAACCCATTCAGCATATTTTTTTCTTCCAGCCCGCCCATAGCATTAGCATCGAAATGATATAAAGCTCGTTTTTATCACTTACCTATGTAAAGGCGTGCAATTTGACCTTCGGGGCAAAGGTGACGAAGCTCCAGTGTTTTTCGGATCACAGCGTATTCGTACAGTCTTACTATCTAGACCGAGAATCGGGCAGAATAAGCTCGTGCAAACAACGATATTTAATACCCTAACTAGACTAACCTTTTCATCCCTGGCAGTATGCCAGCAAACTCAGATTGAAACTGGTTGACGACTTTATTTAGACTTCACCACTTTTCATGATAATCACGTACCTGCTATTTACATTGACTCACAAGATCACTAACTTAAACGAGGCAAAGATGTGCAGTTAGACCTTCGGGGCGAAGGCGAAGTTTGGCTTCGGTGTCTGTCGGATCACAGCGTATTTTTGCAATCGTACCATCTGGGCAGAAGCGGGCAGAATAAGCTTGCGTAAAGCTGTAATAAAGATCCTGTAGGCTGCGCAGTCAGTGTATCATTTATTGCGTCCCTAACAACCATCCTCGTAGCTTATGTAATACGCCCGTGGGTCGGAAATGTCTGATGACTTTGGGTTCAATAAAATGTTGTTTTCTCTTCGCCTATTTAGACTACATATAAGTGCTACGGCATGCGTCGCCACGCTATATGATAGTATGTGGTAACGCATTTTGACCCGTCGCTTTAAATGTCTCGCGACAAAAACAATGCGTGCAACCTTGGTTATTATTCAATTTACTTTTCTCTTCGTATTTTAGATTACATATAGGTAAAGGCGTGCAGTTAGACCTCCGGGGCGAAGGTGATGTTTGGCTCCGATGTCTGTCGGATCACAGCGTGTTTGTACAGTCGTACTATCTGGACAGAGAAGCTGGCAGAGCGCCCGGAGACGCAGTCCATAAAATATACCCTTCAGCTTGCATCAAGGTATGTTCCGTTCACAAAACCTTAATTAATGACTCCGTTCACCTCGCAATACAAAAATGCATACATCGCAAATAGTCGAGCGTAAATGACAAAGAGGGCAAATAGAGTGAAAATGAGCTAGTTTTTTTAGTATCTTTTTTGTTTAGAAGCTTTTATCCGAAGACATGACAGCTCCATCGAAACAAACTAATGAGTACTGAACTACTTAATTAAGAATTATAAGATTATTACATTAGATTTCGTAGTTGTGTAATTTACTGGCAGCATTCCACTAAAAAACACAAGTACAATGCGGCTTTAGTTAGATTCGGGGTTGCTCAGAACACTGAACAATCCCTATATCCAACTTACGAGTATTTATTTGAAATTTTGATATAAATATGTTTCTTTGAACCTGATTCCGCTCACATTCCATCAAAAGATGATGCACGTCCTCAATTTGTTGACATATTTCGCAATTATGTGTATTTACTTTTTTCATCATATATGCAAACTTCCTTGATGGTATAAAGTCCATTGTCTGCGCAGGCTATTAATAACAGCAGTTTTATAAGGGCTCATTAAAACTTCTTTTGGTTGCAATGGGATTGTTTATTTGACGATTGTTTGGTTAGGTTTTCGACCTGCGGCAGTGTCACAGACAGATGCAGACGCAGGCGGCGACGGCGCAAGCGGCAGCCGCGGCTCAGGCGGCTGCCGTCGCGGGGCACATACAGCCCCAGCACCCAAGCATGAACAAGTGTACGTATCACTGTCATCCTGGGCCCTATTACACCAAGTCGACATATATCACTGACATAATGTCATAAAAATGCCAGGCATTTGTTACAATTGTTAATTGTTCGTACTTACTGTAACTGCTACAACGACAATTATGTCATGAAGCAAAGGTTTTTTTTAAGTCTTATAATTTTGAAAAATTTGTTGGTAATTCTTGAAGAAGAAGTGGAGAAGTGTCAGATTTTCGTTGCAATTGTAGTGCTTTCGTTTTTAGTTATAAAATTCTTATGCAGGATATTTATAAAGTACGAATACATTTCTCCATTGATATCACCGAATTTGTGTTCAAAGAAATCTCCGCATAAGCAAAATCAGTATCGAATATTTAATTAATGAATTCTGTGCAGTAAAAAGATCACCTCACAACCAATCGTTGGCTTACATATTATGTTAGTGAGAAATGTCGACTTGGTGAAATAGGGTCTTGGTCCTATAATACAGGGTTAATTTAAAAACACCACCAACCTCTTAGGGGGTTATCCTACCCATCAACAGGAACAACTTTTATTATGGGACCAACGCTGAAATGGCGAAAAAACTGCTGTTTCATACAAAAGTGCATCAGCTAATCGTCCGAAATGTATGAAACAACTGTTTTTATTTCCGCAATTTCAGAGTTGGTCCCATAATAAAAGTTGTTTCTGTTGATGGGTAGAATCACCCCCTAAGAGGTTGTTGGTGTTTTAAAATTAACTTGTATATAGAGGCTAGATCTGCGGCAGTACCATAGATAGATGCAGACGGGACACATACAGCACCTCAGCATCCACAAGTGTACCAAGCGGGCCCAGTGCGGATTGGTGTGTGCTAACGACTGCCGATGCAGCCGATATTAACGTCTCAACGTGCCTCCCATCGATCAGCTCGTCGATCTAGTGGTCGGTCATGGGTGACCAAAAGTTTACTATCTCGAGCTCCTCCGTGCTTCGGAAGGGACGTTAAGCCGTTGGTCCCGGCTGCATCTGCAGTCGTTAGCACCCACCAATCCGCACTGGGCCCGCATGGTGGGTCATGGCCCATTCGCCCTATTCCATCCATATTGAAGGCCTGTGCCCTAGCAGTGGCTAGCGGGACATTAATAGGCTGATGATGATGATGATGCAAAGCGAAAAGAATTTTAAGGTCACGAACGACCACTGCAAAAGTTGCTTAACTTCAACAAAAGCAGCCGAACGCGCTTACCACTTGGGCCATCGCGCTCCTACAACTGAGGCGCTGGCGAACAAAACGGCATCATTACATAAATATTAATTTTACAGGAGCTGTAAAAAGCTGAATGACATACCTACAGTGTGCTTTTGGTGTGGTTTTTGATTTATAACTTGAGTATTTTTAACACTGTTTTTGGCGGTTTTGATTAAAACTGAGTTGAGATTCAAATTCAGCGGGCCCAAAACCTCCGGACTGTAAAAAAAAAGTTTAACCTGATGCGTAATTACATCGTTTTTTTCACCAGCTCCTACAACTACAATATTGGTGTTGATTATGGCACGATTCTCTAAACCTAAACTTAAAATTGACAACAGTGGTGTCGATTCTGTCACGATTCTCTAAACCTATACTTAAAATTGGCAACAGTGAATCCTTTTCATTATTTATACATATTAAAAAAGAGAGACTCATAATAAAGGAGATTGCTCAGCTTCCATACATGTTTGGCCTAAAGAACAATAATCATGAAAAATTGTTTCCTAGATTCAAAATTATATATAAATTACTGTAGAAACGAATATTATTGACGGACACCCCTGAGAACTTCTATTAACCATATACACTGAATGATTTTGAGGTTATGTTTGTAAATAGGTGCATAGGTATTAAAATAATAAAAAACAAATAAGTTATATAGTAAACTAGGGAAATCAAGCCAAGTACCGAAATTTACTTATTAGATTCAGGTATATAAAGCAGGTAGATTAACAGATACACACATCAAAAGTGTCTAGGGATCAACATATATTTTTGCAATAACTTTTCTCCTGATTGATATTAATTAAAATTTTCTTTAAGGATTCATCAAATAAAGTGTTTTCGTTTGTCACAGTAACGATAAACCAAGTCACCTTTGCATTAATAAAGAAATTTGCCATTTTCCTAATAAAGGGATTTTTGACATTTGAACCACTAACACAAAAGTTCGAAAAAAAGACTGAAATAACAGTTTTCTCTAAAATTTTATTGGGTAACTTAAACAATTAATAATCCGTATTTCTACCGCGAACACTAACAACACAAGAACATCGGTTTGGCATACTCAAAATGAGTTCATCCAAATCACGCTGTGGAATGGCCGCCCATGTTCGTTGCAACAACAAAAAAAGGTCTTCTTGCGACTGGATACCCTCCATATTCGGCAGAGCTCTTCTCTGTAGCATATCCCATGCATGCTCAATCGGGTTCAAGTCTGGCGACTGAGCAGGCCAGGGCAGGACATTGATGTTAGCTGCGGCGAGAGTCTGTCTTACAACTCTTGCGGTGTGCGGTCGTGCATTATCATGCATTAACTGAAATAAGGGACCGATTTGCGCTTGTAGAGGAACGATGACGTCTGATACAATCGTCTCAGCATAAATTTGAGCGTTGAGGTTGCCTCTGATCCAAATCAACTCAGTTCTTCCGCCGATCCAAATACCCGCCCATACCATGATGGTTCCACCACTATAAGGATGGACTTCCTGGCAGGATTTTAATCGCTGTTGGCGTCCAGGGGTTCTCCAGTGTCGTATACGTCTTGTATCCGGTCTCATACCAAAACGAGACTCATCAGAAAAGCACACGAAACGCCATTGTTCTTCTGCCCAATTTCTGTGTTCAAGAGCCCATTGATATCGAATCCTACGATTGTGCATTGCTATAGGTGGTACCCGTAGCGGTCTTCGGGAATGAAGGTTCACTTCATGCAAGCGGTTTCTGACTGTTTGGTCGCTAATTAAGTTCCCTGAAGAGTGATGAAGCCTCACGGCTAACATCATGGCGGTTATTGTTGGAGCTCTTCGAGTTAAGATTTGAATGTATCGGTCTTGTCTCCGTGTGGTGCAGCGATACCGTCCTCCATGGCGCTCAGCCACGGTACCAGTGCTTCGGTATCGTGTCCAAAGTCGACTGATAACACTCTGACTTGTATTCAGAGCTAAAGCCACAGTACGTTGCCGGGAACCAGCTTCTATCATTCCCACGGCTCTGAGCATTTCTTCCCTGCTTAAATGACGTCGCCGCTCCATAATAACGTTGGTTTTAATCAGTAGTAGGGAAACAGTAGCACTAATAATGTCTTCAATGCGTTGTATGTTTTTATAGGGAAAATATTGACAGCTGATTTTCATCTTTTACTCGAATTTGATTCACAGTTCCTGATTCAAATTATGAAATGCACCAAAAAGGATCCATATAAATTTATAAAATCATAAATTTATTACAAAGCCACATCTCAATCTCAAGAAATCCGCATAAAAATGCTTGATCCCTAGACACTTTTGATGTGTGTAGTTGCCTGTTTATAAAGTTAATGCACAAGAGTAACTTTTAAAATCAGGTATCATCTATGCATTTCCGGTTATAATATGGTATTCTGTGCCAGAAACTGTGTAATGATTGTGAATGAGCCACAGATTAGAGAGAATTTTTAAACTCTCTTTAATTTAGTTAGTTAAGCTTCATTATTTTTGTTATGTTTATATTATAACCATATTTAAGATTTTTAGTGTATAACACCTTATAATGTGTTATGGAGGTGTTTGGCGAAAAATGTATGGCAATAGACTTTATGATGTCGCCTACCATCTATAATAATTGTCTTAGCACATTTGCATGTAGTGAAAATGATAATATAGTTGTGGATATTAACACCACAGTGTAATAAAAAAAATCGATCGTTACAAAATAGATTTGTTTTAATGTTGTATAAACAACTTCGATCAGTCTTTGGCTGAATGTTACTACGCCCATAGCCATTAAAAATGATTCGTATGTTTTCCAAACCGGTAAAATTAAAAGTCCTTTTTAAAATGAATATATTATACAAAGGTGTCCGTTAACTGACTGTAAAATAAAGTATAAATTACGCCAAGAATTACCGTATATGTCAATATTTATTGTACATTTAGGCCAATTTGAGCAATCTCCTTTAGTTTTAAGTTTAGAGAATCGTGCCAGAATCGACACCATTGATTCATCATTATGATCAGCCTATTAATGTCCCCATTGCTGGGGCACAGGCGTTCCCTACCGATGGAATAGGGAGGTTGGGTCATGACCCACCACGCGGGTCCAGTGCAGATTGGTGGGTGCTTACGACTGCAGATGCAGTCGGTACCAATGGCTTAACGTGCCTTCCGAAGCGCGTAGGAGCTCGAGATGGGTAAATATTTGGTCACCCATCCAAGGACCGACCACTGTGAAAGTTGCTTAACTTCAAAGATCGCAGCTGAACGCGCTAATCACTTGCGCCATCGACCTCCACCACCATTGATTGGTTACCATTAAATATACTATTTTGACATACATGCTACATGGTTTAGGTTTGACAGCAGCAGCGGGTATAGGGGTCGATGACCTCCGGCGACTCTGCATAGTGCGGTTATCGTTCGTGAAGGGGTGGGGCCCTGACTACCCGCGCACTTCTATCAAGGAGACGCCCTGCTGGGTAGAGGTGCATTTACACAGGTCAGTTAGTAGAAGTGATGCATACATGCTACATGGTCTAGGTTCGACAGCAGCAGCGGGTATAGGGGTCGAGACCTCCGGCGACTCTGCATAGTGCGGTTATCGTTCGTGAAGGAGTGGGGCCCTGAGCGCACTTCTATCAAGGAGACGCCCTGCTGGGTAGAGGTGCGTTTACACAGGTCAGTTGGTAGAAGTGATGCATACATGCTACACGGTTTAGGTTTGACAGCAGCAGCGGGTATAGGGGTCGATGACTTTTTTTTTTTTTGGGACGAGGGGAAATGCATTTACGCACCATACCGTGTCGCTGACTAGACGCACTGCGTGTGTGGGACTCGCCGGCACGGGAAACAGTGCCGACCCTACTCAAGCAGGACCAGTGCGGAAGGCCACACTGATCCTACTCCACTAAAACCCCCCCGTACCCTCCTACGCCCATATGGGGGCTTCTCAGGATCGACGCACCTTAGTGTGCGCCACTTCACTGGGACGCCCCCGGAGGGGTCGATGACCTACGGCGACTCTGCATATTGCGGTTATCGTTCGTGAAGGAGTGGGGCCCTGAGCGCACTTCTATCAAGGAGACGCCCTGCTGGGTAGAGGTGCATTTACACAGGTCAGTTGGTAGAAGTGATGCATACATGCTACATGGTCTAGGTTTGACAGCAGCAGCGGGTATAGGGGTCAAGACCTCCGGCGACTCTGCATAGTGCGGTTATCATTCGTAAAAGGGTGGGGACCTGACTACCCGCGCACTTCTATCAAGGAGACGCCCTGCTGGTTAGAGATGAATAGGGTATTTGAGAGTATTAAAAATAAAGTGCCAATTGTTAGCATCTGTGTCTAGAATGAATATTGGTAGGGGTTTTTTACTATTTTTACAAAGAAAATATTCATAATTTGAAGAAAAGATAATAGTTTTCTTATCTATTGTCACGTGACCCAAAACGCTTGGGATTGGCGGAGCCTAAAATGACGTCACACGCAAGTAAACTTCCGGTTAAAGTGACATTACATTGTATCGTTTGACGTTTTAATAACAGTCGTGTGACGTCACACACTAGTAAGACGCCATATTGTCCAGAGAAACGTTTTCGCGGCAACTGACAATGGAGTTTTTGATTTGGTTATTTTTACTGAAATACACAACAGAATTATTAATATCCACTTTTTACGGACTACATAAACATTTGTCAATAACGTGAGATCGTTTTCTAAAACTTGTCAAATACCCTATTTACACAGGTCAGTTGGTAGAAGTGATGTATAATAATGGAACTAATACTTGTCTATGTTTAAATTTAAAAGCGATGTTTTCTACTTATATAATAAATAATAATAATACATAAATATTTCCGACACACACACCAAAAAGCCTAGCCCCAAAGTAAGCACTGTAAGGCTTGTGTTTTTTTGTTTTTATAGATAGTTCCGACAAATGACTCCACCCCACCTGATGTTAAGTGATGATGAAGTCTAGACGTGAACACGTTACATCACGGCATAATTGAAGAGGCTCGAGGTGTTTAGTCACCTCCTCATCGCCTATGATGCGAATCGCACGCCACTGTAACCTACAGATAGATAGCATCGAGCAAGTACTTGGCGGAGCCATCCCAGAGGTGCAAGCAATATTCCACGCAAGCACCGTACCGAGTGCAAACTCGGAGTCCTGAACAAGGTACGGCCGTTTTTACCAGACTTTCGATGTAATTTTTTGGATTTAAGTTACAGCGAATTTCTATACCGAGCATGGTGATACTGCTCTCTAGCTCCAGTGTTGTGCCCTGAAGAGAAGGACATGAAAGGAATGGCGATGTTTATGCCGTGAAAGCTCAGACCTGGGTTTTCTTAGCATTGAACTCAACCAAGCTCTTGGTAACCCATTCAGAAATGTGGTCCAAAGCCTGATTGAGTTCAATGACAAGATTCTCCCGTTTTCCCTTGGTTACCGCCTGTCCAGCCGCTGCTTGTCCGAGATACCCCGCATGCAGTGATCGTCTGCATAGCAATGAATGTTCTCAAGAGGAATAAAGTCATTGATATGCAGTAGAAAGAGAGTGGGGGATAGGATGAAGCCCTGAGGAACGCTGGCATTCACTGACATGAACCGCGAATTACTACCGTCCGAACGAATTCTACGCTCACGCAGGAAGTCAGCTATCCAGGAACAGAACTGGGCCGGCAGACGGTATGCCGGAAGCTTGGATTGCAGGCTTTTGTGCCAGACCCTGTCATAACGCCTTGGAAATGTCGAGGTTGATAGCCAAGGACTCGCCTCACCCCAGATATGAGTCAAGTACGCCAGAAGATCACCCGTCGATCGTTTCGGTCTAAAACCATACTGACGATCATTAATCAGAGAGTGATCCTCTAGGTAGCGGGCAGATGGTTGTTAAGGACCTTTTCTAGGACTTTACATAATACTGAGGTGACTGCTATTGGCCGGTAGTTGGCCGGGTCTGAGCGATCCCTTTTTTGGGCACCGGTTGCATGTTGGCATCTCTCACACGTCTCCGGCACACGCCCCAAAGAATACGAGCTTTGGTACAAGCGCGTGAGCACGGGAGACAACTCAGCTGCACATTTTTTAAGTACAACACTAGCTTTTCGGACGTCAAGTAACTGCAATTCAACGCGAACCTCACGCTGCCTGATTTTAATATCAGGCATCATTATGCCACAATGAGGTAATTGATGGTGGCAGCGCATTGCAATCATCGATTCGGGAGTTAGCCGCAAAGAGGTTTGCCAGTAAATCGGCTTCCTCCTGTGGCTGACGAGCTAGTGTTCCGTCTGGGCATCTCTGTGTTATGGGATACTAGGGTTACGGATAGGATACATATACTGTACATATATAAGTATATTGATATAGAAAATACATATTAGATATCTATGACTGGAGTACAAATGCTCGTATTCATCACACAAACACCTGCCCCCATCGGGATTCGAACCCGGGACCTCTCGAGTCGGCGACACCATGAAACTCGGCGTACAAACCACTCGGCCACGGAGGTCGTCGAATGATGCAACTAATACTTGTCTATGTTTAAACCTAAATTAATAAGCGGTATTTTCTACTTATTTTCTTTAAAACATAATGATGACCTTTGACTAAATAGAGTAATCCAAATAATCACGCAAAGAAAACAGTCAGTCAAACCATTATGTATTTTTTATGCCACTTCCGTGCAGTTCATACGGTATCTAGGGTGTATTTAATCTAAAGGGATTTGATTTAAAGGGATAGAGTATTGCTAATTCTAGTTTTTAAGTTTAGAAAATCATTTTTTGAATTTCGCCCTATATCAGCTTTGATGTTGTTGTATTGCTTTTACTTTTAAACATCTCCTCATCTTCGACCGCCAATAGGCAGGTTTCTTACACAAATAATATAAATAATTTAGCACTTTAAGCTGAAGAGTTTGATTTGCCTTTTTAAAGAGTGTGTATTATGCATCGAATTTGAACAAAGTATTTTTGCTTTGCTTAATCTAAAAACCCATAAGAAGTAAAATGAAAATTTATTGCAAGAATGTGGTAAAACTGTGGTTCTTATTGATCCTAAGAACTTAATCCTATATAAGAAATCACTTTGTCTAGTTACTTATGTATTTACATTAAAAGTTATAAATAAAGAAGTTTAATACTACTTAAAATAGAAATATAATAAAATCACTTCATTTATGTTAATTGTTTAAGTCGAATAGATATAATATTGAGGTTTTAACATAGACAACAAAATAAAATTTCTTTAGAAAGAGACAAAAGCAGATAATACGTGTACGAACTATGGATCAGTCAATGAGGATCCGTAACGATTTTAGTTGAGAATGCCGATTCATAGAGCTAAGGATTCCATAAAATACAGTGGTCCGTAAATATTTGTTCTACTAAAAATATTGACGAAGTTATGACCAAATTACTGAACGAATATTCGGCTGGCCGCGTGGTGGCTGTGACGCTACAGAACTCTAGCGCTCGGACGCGAGCGTGCGTAGAGACGCTACTGAAGTTCGAACGGAGTGAACCACGATCGAGCTCTGTGACGTCACACGTTCCGGCCGCCGATGAATATTGGCTACCATATAATTACTTGTATAATCGTAACGATCGATTACAAACTATCGATTTAAAAAGTAAATTAATTAAAAATCTTATTAGATCATTATACTTTTGATTATTATCATTTTGAGTTGATTTTCTGACCTAGTAATATCCTCATTGCTTTGTCTTTTTAAAACTTACCATTTTTAACTTACAGTTGGTTATGGAATAGCGCATACTTTATGTACTTGTGTGCAAGTGGGCCGAAGTGCTTCATTTTCATTGTTTTCGAACCTATGAAATACTGAATAAATATTTACTTTATTTTACATTTATAGGGCATTACAACTGTTGGACGAGGTTCTGCACACGATGCCAATCGACGGCCCTCGGAACAACATCGAGTAGGAGTTGATCGGCTTCTTTTGAGGCCTTGAGCGAGCACATCTGCATGTGCGCTTTTGTTTCCACAAACTGTTTGAAATCTGCTCGAATACAATCCGAGCAGCACTGAAATATGGATTGATCGAGTGAAGTGAAGTGATGTGATGAAAAGTGATTTATTAACGTTATTGATGATTGTTTACTATCAAAGTATAAAAAAATATTTATCCTTTCTTTTATAACGAGATGCCATAATTAGCATTTATAGATAATAATGTGATTATATATTTTATTTTTCATCTCAGATACTATTGGTCGTTGCCAAATAGAAGGCTTCCAAATTATTTTTTTATTATTGTTCTTCTTTCGTCTTCCTTCTTCTAGTTTTTCTCAATTAACGTGTGTCATATTATGTTTGGTCATGGAAAGTGTTTAAAAGTTGGGACTCATGAAACAAAACGCACATTGACTTTTAAAGTGATTTCGCGTTTATAAAGAGGTGAACTTATAATTTATGTCTTGTGTTTATTTAATACTAAGTAGATACACTATTGTAAGGGTAAATATAAAGTATAGATTTATGTAACAGTATTGCGACAGAACAAACTAAAGAACACACAGAGATCTCAGTAAAATATTTTTCACAAAAGTTAAATAGATGGGAGTGTTTGCGATAGTTCCGAAAATGTCGGCAGTAGCGGTAATATTGTGGCGCTAGTGTGATATGTAACTAACGCCATCTGCGAGGCACGTTTTCGCCTGCGATTGTTTTCGGCACTTTTGCACCTATTATCTGATAATTATGTAAGATATTAGTGTATTATACGATACGATAGAAAACGAGTTTGCCTGTCGTTGCTCAAGCATGAGTTTGTCGTGTTATTTTTTTTATTGTAATTAAAGCATTATTTTATAAAGCAAATTTTAGTAACAGCGATACCAAAATAAGGCATTTTTGTACTAAAATAGTAGGAGTACATTAAATGACAAGACATAATTATGGTTCAACTTGAAAGAAGCCAAATGGAATACAAGCTTTTTAGATTTTAAGTGTAACTTAAGGAGTTGAATAGGATAGGTACAAAGTAACTTATGTTAAAGTTAAGTTATGTGGGGCGTGCGTTGTAGGTGAGGCTGTATTTTTGTTAGCTTGATGTGCCTGATTGGTGGAATTGCATGGATTGTGTAAATTTCACTTTGCCATGTTTGACCACATTTTTTTTCCAAATTAAGTGACTGGTTGTTTTACCTACTTTAAGTCAAGCTTCAATCATTTATTTCGATGATGTGACTTGATGGACACTCAATAATTGAGTTCAGGTGAATAAAAGAAGCACATGTTCCCACCTTCCTACAATCTGAGGTCCTTTAAAAGAGACATGAAGAATCATTGCAGGTTGGCAAGGTGAGGATGGTTGGTTTGGCAGTTTATAACTGCTGCACCAGCTATCTTAGCATTTGAACTTTACCACCACTTAACATCAGGTGGGACAGAGTAATTTGTTTACCTAGCTATATAACAAAGGAACATGGTTGACATTTTTGTATTTAAATTCATGTCACTTAATTTTTTATGAATATCAAATAACACAATTTCTATATGACTAAAAAGAGATGTTGCTTATAAATGTATATAGTACAAAATATGAAATAAAACGAGAAATAGAGACAAGTGAAATTTTGCAATACACAATACTACATTTTCTAAGTAAGGCAAAATTCATGAAATAGACATGGTGCCTATATTCGCTTCGATAATGTTAAAACTGGTGGTCGAGACAACATAATGCAGGGGACGCAAGAAGTAATAAAAATATACCAAAAAGCAATATTAGTCAGTAAGTGCATAAATGTTCTCCGATTTCATGTGAATTTATTATGTTAATACTACAACAACAGAGAAAACAGAAATAATAATTTAATAGATATTATAAACGGCCATGTTTTGGTATTGCAAATATAGGAGACCATCACAAAGACATTTGCTTCTAAATTAAAGGTGACCAACGGTGACGACTCAACCATAAAACGTAAAAATTATTAGCAGTTTGGTCCATGCGATTTCGCCATTTTCTTTTTGATGATCTGTGATGTGCTAACGAAATGTGTTAATAACACTTTAAGGACACGCGCGCCCAAGATCTCCGAATAAGGAGCAACTCTTATTAATATTGCAAGATGTTAGAAAACGTAAGGATAAATGACATATTTTGTGTACGGAAACTTAGTCCTTAATTTAATGGTGTTTGTGGTACTTTAGGGCCTAGAAACCTTTAACACTTTACAGGCGTTTCGCGTACATTTTCATTGATAAGATGTGTGTGACGTGTCATAAAGTTGTAACCGATTCTCGCCCTTATTTGAGATTTTCGTAGTTGGCTTAAGTTTGCTTTAATTATTATTACATGCAGGTTAGGTTATTATTTTGTGTTGAAACATTTTTATATAATTGTTAGTGAAAGTTAGCGTTTTAGAATTTTTTAATTAAATATTATCTTTTAATAATGGACATTATGACGGATTGTAAGCTATAAGCATTTTTATATAAACAAGGGGTGTTTGATAAATCATATGATTTTAAAAAGAACCTTATTTGTATTGATATATCTACAAAAAAAATCGTCAATAACTACTATTCAGATCTTCAAATTTAGCACCTATATATGTAAGTGTTGTTGTTTTGCAGACAGATAGGCGCTAAAAATTAATGCTTAATAAGGCCCGCTTTGTCACATTTTTTTGATGACCCAAATAATGTGACAATATTAACATTAATCACACTTAAAAGGTAATTGATGTTTTTTTAAGTGAATTGGTCTTTTTGTGATTGAAATACAAGTGTTAATTCTCATTTATGAGACAAAATTCCAAATACTATATATAGCGATAAAGTCGAGCTTTTAAGGCATACCTACCCAATTTTAAAATGCATTTCTATGGAATTATCAAACAACCCTGATTAAAATCCAGATTTAAGTACATACAGCTATGTGGTTTTTGATTTGTTGAAGAATGATACATCACAATGTTTTTATTTTTGTTATTGCTATATAAAAATATGTAATTTAGTTTATGCCTGAATTAATTTTATGATAATTCACGATTATGATTGTTACCAATGACAATGTAAAGAATTCGGACTATTCAAGATACTTTTCTTTTTTGTTTTGTAAATAGTACAATTTGTTGTGAGTATTTTTTTTTGTAATTTAACCATATTAAGGCGACGTCCTATATTAAAAAAAATAAATTAATAATTACAGGTTTGTGCAACTCGGTACTTATTGTAATCTTAAAAGTTCATCTTTAGATGGCTCCAAAAAAAATTGTTTATCAAAAATACCTCTTTGTAGTGATCAAAAGGATTCGAAGGGTTTATTAATAAATGATATTAATAAGTCGTAAGTTTTTTAATAATGTTGAAGTTTTGATAATATATTTGTCAAATTCTACAAGCGACAGTTATGTTACCGGACCGTTTTGGGATTCTCTCTTACAATTTTATGCGGCAACCATGGATTGCAGTTGTTTGGAGATATACCGAAGTTATCCAAAGTTGATGATGCCTGAGTACCCAGATACTTCTTTGTTGTTCCCGCGAGAACGACAAGTCAAAGATAACGCTTTTGTAAATACTTCTCGGCCAGCGTTAGAATTGAAATAAATAAGTTAGGTATGGTATTGCAGCAATCTTCAATTTAACATTGGGTATCAATATACCTAACTACTGATTGATTGTTTTGTTAGGTTTTTTTTATGTATCATCGTTTTCAATTCACCATTGCGTAGACGATGATAGTGTCAAAAAATATTTTTATCTAAAGTGTATATTGAAAATCTAGTTTGATTATTTTTTGTAATCTGTCTATAAGACATTATTTTTATATTGCTAAATGTCATGTCTCGAATTACTTGGGTTTTACTCTGAGATGTTTTATCCGATCCCAACTTTAGTTGATACTGATTAAGTATGTTAGAATAACAAAGCATGTTTGTTATAAAGAGATAAATGGCATTCAGTGTGTAGAAAACCTTTTCAGGCCCTTTATTTACTTCAGAACCTGATTGAATTAAAACTGGGACCTTAAAGTAAGTTTTCGCCTACCATGATTTGTTTCATTTGATAGCTGGGAAAGAGGTAAGTTATGTCACATTGACATTTATCTTTAGCTCTGAAGGGATAATAGAATCTGTTAAAATTACACAATTACCCTTTGATAAGAGTAAGATATCAAAAGTGAAGGGAATACGTCTTACACCAACCAAATACAGCTCATATTGTATTAGATTTAAGTTCCAAATTGAGGTGTTGCACTCGCATTTTTTCTATTTCTTAATTGAAAATTATTGTAGTTGCTGTTTATCAATAATTATAACAAAATTAAGAGAGTTGATACGAATTACAGAGGATAATATACTTTAAAACATAAGTGCAAACTCACACTGTACAAATAAAGAAACTGAAATACAAGTAACAATTTATTGTTCGATGATAAACACATAAAATTGTATTTAATAGTTACATCATAAGGAGTATTGTAATATAACTTTTGCTTTACGCGTCGACTGCTGGGGATACCCGTGAAAATTTGGATAAAAATAAGTTTCCTCTGCACACTATCCATCTTACTGGATCTAGCATGCGGGACAGCGCTATACGCGTGAAAGAGATGAAGATACAGGATCTCTTTTACGTGTTTAGCGCTGAAGACGGATAGTGCGTAGAGGACATTGTTGTTTATGGGGGAAAATGCGATTTCCATATTTTAAAATAAATCTTAAGTAGGTAAGTAAATATTGGTTTTAAGAGAATCATCTTGTTGTTTGTCATGTGAAAAAATCTAATGCAAATATTCATTTTTTAAAAATACAAATATGTTTCAATGGTGTTATTTTAAATGTTAAGCTTAGAATCTATATTAAAAGCTTAATTAACAATATCTCCAGCAGACGATAGTAAAGCACACCAAGGTTGTTTCAAAGAATGTTGGTAGTTCTGGAATTGTTTTTTCTGTATTGTTTGATGCGTGGACGGTTTTCACCGCTCGGAATAACATAGCCATAAGTGCATAGTTATTAAGAGTGATGCTGTGAGACAGAAATGAATATAAAGGTTATTCCTCTAATGCGGTCGTTTTATTTTAATAATTATAAGAACGCAAAATTTTGTTCTTAATAAATTTTGAACTTTAAACCGAATCATTAAGATTGAAAATCGCTTAGAGAAAGGCAGCTTTGTATATATGTAGTTTGAATTTGATATAGTACTTAGCCAAGTTGTAAGTGTGCGTGTAATAATTGGGCACTATGTTGAAAATTTTGGACAGGGTTTAGCAACAACGTCCGAAATCATAATTTGTGAGTAATTTTTGCGACATATGAGCTGAAATCACTCTGTTCTCTAAATTAAATTGAAAGGCTTCCATTGCTTACGATAACATCATTCAGAATCCGAACGAAAAACTGGTATGAGGTAGATAATACGAATATGTCAAAAAGCCGCCCACTTTGGAAAAGTTGAATGAGTCTTGTCCTTATAGCAAATAAAAATACTCATGCCCCCCTAGCATGAGCACCGTGATATGATATATATAACGCGTTTTTATCGCGCTCAGTTGTCAAATTACTATGGAGCTTGACAGTTAGAAGCGATAAAAACGTGTTATAATGTAAATTGTGATGCTCATGCTACTGGGAATGAAAATAGTTTTCCGGCCCGCATAAAGGTAGTTATTTGTATTTTAAAAAAAATGTGTGTTACAAGTTTAAATTTAGAGTATCATGCCAGTATCTACACCATTATCTGAATATCACTAAATATTCCGAATTATATAAATTGCAGAATGCAGACTGACAGACAAAAATACGACTACTTTTCTAACCGTTTAAAAAGCACCCATAAAAAAATATTTAACGAAGAATAAATGAGCTTAGTATGGTTATGCCATAGAATAAATTTACATGTACCGTAATGTAGCTAAAATGTTAAATATTATTCTGAGTTACCTATGTACCTACGCAATGTTTTTTCTCTGTTAATCGAATGACAAAATGGCGTTTCAGTGAATGGTGAAACGAACAAAACTCTTAATTATTTCATTTGTAAATAAAATAAGTAGCAATGATGTTACCGCCGGATCATACGCACACCTAATTATACCCGTTAGCGATTATTCATAGCGCGATTTGTGTGTATTAATAAAAGCTTTTGTCCTTCTCAACGCTTCTGGCGCGGTGACGACACTATTTTATGTGAAGTGGGACGTTCGTAAGACGAGCGGATGCGGTCTGTGTAGTAATGAATAATCGAATTTAAAATTACGTTTTTTATTTACATAAAATTGAAGGTAGTTGCTTTTGCCTTCACTATCACATGCCCATTAATGTCACTGCTGGGCCACAGGCCATAACCCACCACGCAGGCCCAGTGCGGATTGGTGGCTGCTAAAGCCTTCCGAAGCACGGAGGAGCTCGAGATAATAAGTTTTGGTCACCCATCCAATGACCTAAGTAGTTTATACCTGAAAAAGTAACAGAGACAGAGTTACTTTTGAATTTTTAATCTTATTGTAGATGCTACACAAGCAGCAAATGGATAGATTAAAATATAAATAAGCTTAACACTTGCGCCGGCGCCGATTCGTAGTCACACCACTATAAATACCGGAGTCTGAGTTGCTCACAGTTTGATAAATGAAAGAGCTTGGGGATATTTGTTTCTTCGCACAAAACCTTTTTTTGACGAAATAAAATAAATTTCTTTAAAAGATACATAAATTAATACAAACATATCAACGACACATAACTCCATACACAAAGAAAAGATACTGAGCAATACCCGTATGTAAGTAATTGACTATGGCATAGAGCGAGAAAGACGATCATGCGGGTGACACCTATGCAAACTACCATAATCGAAATCATTTATTCAGTTTAGGCTGTTACAAGCACATATGAATGTCTAGAAGCTGCGCCATTGGTGTCCGTGATGCTAGCGTACCCACGATCAATATACGGTTTTCGTTATGCCATTAAATACTGCGTAAATAGTGCCAAATTAGTGTAAAAATAAAAAAAATAGTGCCTCTTTAATTTAAGAAATAAAGACCATTTTTACTGTGTACGCTACCATGACGTCAAGCTAGCGTACCCATGGCCGACCCCAAGAACGGCATATATTTAAGCAACGAAATTGACACACAAAAATAGTTCGCAAATAGTGCCCTGACTTTACAAAATTTCATAATCAATACTCTTAAAGTACCAAAGATATTGAACTAAACATTCTTAGTTGGCGTCAACCTGGCGTACCCATAATATGTAGTTCTCATAGAAAATGAACTTTTATCGTTATCAATTCTATATGTATAAATAGTGTGTCAAATAGTGCCTCTAACAGTAAAAGTATTTTATGTGAATTCACAGTAAAACAATATAAAAAAAGCAATTAAATTATTTTTATATATAAAGTACAGTCATGTACAGAAGTGATAATATTTTCGTAGTATAGTAGGTAAGTAAGGTACTTAGTAGGTAGGTTGAAATTCTTATATGAATTTATGATTGGTGAATTCGATTTGAAATAAAATATCTTTTTATAAAAAGTACCTATTTATTTTAGTAAAAATACATATATAGATAATTTCTTAGTGCATAAATTAATTTTGTGTGCAACTGTACTACAATACATTTATTCCTAGAATTTAAGATTCTTTTTATGTATTGTTGTGATGCGGATTCACATAAAATACTTTTACTGTTAGAGGCACTATTTGACACACTATTTATACATATAGAATTGATAACGATAAAAGTTCATTTTCTATGAGAACTACATATTATGGGTACGCCAGGTTGACGCCAGCTAAGAATGTTTAGTTCAATATCTTTGGTACTTTAAGAGTATTGATTATGAAATTTTGTAAAGTCAGGGCACTATTTGCGAACTATTTTTGTGTGTCAATTTCGTTGCTTAAATATATGCCGTTCTTGGGGTCGGCCATGGGTACGCTAGCTTGACGTCATGGTAGCGTACACAGTAAAAATGGTCTTTATTTCTTAAATTAAAGAGGCACTATTTTTTTATTTTTACACTAATTTGGCACTATTTACGCAGTATTTAATGGCATAACGAAAAACCGTATATTGATCGTGGGTACGCTAGCATCACGGACACCATTGGTTCGTAAATCTACGGCGGGAGACCTAGTACTGAGAAGAACCGGCAAGAAACTCAGCAAAGGCTGTTTTATTACTGGCCGCACGTTCGCTTCATTCCTATCTATCATATCTATACTTTTCGCTTCATGGCATAGAGGTACATGGCATATATCTATACTTTTCTGTCCGTTTTTTTTCCAGCGGTATAGGGAACACATAAACGCATAATCTTAATGTCTATAATGTGTATGCATAACCCAGACAGCAATTTAACTTGAATCTTGAGTTTGATCTATTACAAGAGAGTGTTTTACTGTTAAATAAAAAATAATGTTGCTAAGTGCAAAACTCAACGTTGTACGGAGTGAAAAATCATAAAAATTGCATGAATAATTATTTGAACGTTTGTGCGTTTGTTATTCAATAACGCAAAAAAGGCTGAACGGATTTGGATGAAATTTGGCAGACATATCTTATTACCTGGTTTGAGACAAAGGATACTTTTTATCCCGGAAAAATGTTAGTTTCTTAAGGGATTCTCAAGAATCTAAAATTAACGCGAACGCAGTCGCGGGCGGCAGCTAGCATTGAATAAAACTATCAACTTAATACAATGTTATTAATATGTGTGCCTAGTACGTATGTAGGTAGCAACCTTGTGGGCTATTTGAGTCAGTACCCGCTTCGAGTCGACTTTGGCCCTCAAATTTCATCGTCGTCCGCTCTTTGGAACGTCCGCGTGCCTGAACATGTTTTCATTTAATAATTTCTTATGTAAGCTCAAGATTTGTAAAGATTCTGATCAATTATTAAAAGTTAGGCAATCTTTTTCTTTTCTTATGGCAACTTCTATACAAACTTCCTACCTACTTATTTAGCCACGATTTTTCTCGCAATCCTACTTTAATATTATAATTTGAAAGTTTTGGTTTGTTACTCAATCAGGCAAAAATTACTGAACGGATTTGGATGAAATTTGGTATGCTACTTGTGTCCGAAATAAATATAATATTATTATATAGTTTATCATTTCTTAACAGAAAATAACAGTACTTTCCTATTCATTTCTTTTTCTCTTTATCTTTGTACAAATTACCCATATCAGTACCTTAAGTTCGAGCTTATTATCGAATTCAAAGAACAGCTTCGTGTCTACCTATGCATCAAGTAATAGTTTGTAATAAATAAAGATATTTATCAAATGCATCATGTTTAGCAATAGATGGAGTCTGAAATTGGTCTATTTTTGTTAAAGTACCGGATCAACTGGATTGGGAAGTTGGCTGAAACATAAATGATAAGTATAATATTGAACATGATTATAGGTAAAATGTATAATATACAATGTGATATCAGAAAAGGGGGTTTGGTTAATAATAAAGATTTACTTGAAATTTGGTAACAATTTTCAACACACTTAATGAAATTGGTACATAAACCTAAAAAAAATACTAGAAAAATAAAAATCCAGTAGTTAATTGTTCCAAATGAAACTATAATGCCAAAGATACATAATATGTCAGGGATTAATTAATATTTCCCCTGCGAACAAAAATTAAAATATTTATATATGTATATATACTAGATGCTACGAAAAAAAGACCATTCAATATAAACATCATCAGTACGTTAGGAGAGAAGGAAAATTCCGAAATATTACAGTATTTTTAGCCACCGAGGCCGTCCCTGTTTACATATTTTTCATTTTACGCTCGTGGTCATTTTGTAGGTGGTTTCTTAACGTAGGTTTCTTCGTTGAAATTCAAAACACGACTTGCAATTTTTCTTTTGTAAATATAAAAACACGTTTTTTACCAACGAGCTTTTCAACTGACCAAGCTCATTTCTCAATAAACTTATTACTAACTTTGTAACTTATGAAATTAACATCAATTTTATGAATTGCGTATAATGTATGCGTTTAATCTACTCACGATGAAACGCATATAATGAGGTCGCGAGCGCA